ACCCAACAGGATTCTTCAGCAGATTTTTTTTACAGTATTTCAACAACTACTACAAAGACAAAAATCATATTAAACTCCAGATGTGTTTCTTGTAAAAGAACTTCTTCGCTGCTCACTGCGACAGCTCAGAAAAATTAATAAAGCTTATAAAAACACATTTCATTGCCCAGAATTTTCACTTGACATTATAACTAGGTTTCCTCAGAACCTTGTAACAGTTTGTCACCAAATGATTTGTTAATTTTTCAACAACACGTAGAGATGAGTTTTGTATGGAAAAATAAAGATACAGGAAGTTGTCACCACACAATTCAATATAAAGCTTAAGTTTGCTCACTTACTGCACCCACAAGAGTCACCCCTTAAAAGCTCCTGGCTATGTCACAGCTTCCCATCCAAGGAAATCCAGGTTTTCTTTCACAGCTACCAGATGTGGTACCCAGCTTTCCCAATTCAGGTACTAACTCACTGTATGGAAAAATAAAGATACAGGAAGTTGTCACCACACAATTCAATATAAAGCTTAAGTTTGCTCACTTACTGCACCCACAAGAGTCACCCCTTAAAAGCTCCTGGCTATGTCACAGCTTCCCATCCAAGGAAATCCAGGTTTTCTTTCACAGCTACCAGATGTGGTACCCAGCTTTCCCAATTCAGGTACTAACTCACTTTTCTGTCTAAGGTTTAATCTCCTGTTGGCTCCAGTTGCCATATCAAAAGGAGACTGCTGTCAGAAATTATCAATTTGAATCAAATTGAGGTGGAACAAAGCATCTCTCAAACTTTAAATCTGTCAGCCTGCCAGCTACTTCCCTCATGGCCAAAACCTACAACCATGACACCTGAAGGCAGGAACTCTTACTTAGACTTTCTGTGGCACGGAAGCCAAGATTTTTTTACAATACAAAAGAGGACAAAAGCATCACAGTAGGGAGAAATCATAGAAGATCTGACACTGTGAAAAACTGAAATTGGACTGAATATTTTTGACCTCTAAAAGATAGGAGAGCTGTAGAGCATTACAAAGGACAAGAAGAAGATCCGTGTGTCTCTCCTTCACTGCATTTGAGCACTTCTCCCTTCTTCTCTTACTTACCCGGGAATTAGGATTGTCCAACACTACAAAAATAACAAAGATGTTGGCATTCTGAGCTGCTTGAACTGCTGCTGTCACTCGTTCCTTGCCTTCCAAGAAAAGGCCTCTCCCATCAGATACAATCAAAAGCAGCTGCGCCGTTTCTGAGCACAAAGAACATTTAAATTCCAGTAAGTCAGAGTAATCCATTTAAAAGGCAAACAGACTGTTCTGTTGTTAGCTCTGTGGGTATAACAGAAAACCCCTCCGAGTATCCCTGAGGAAATGAAGTCTTTATCAAACTGAATTCTGGGACTGAACATGAAGCTGCAGTTACCACGGGGTTAGACAGTTTTTCCCACTGTGTGAAGCTACTGAGAACAACTGGGGAAGGAAAAAACCCTCAGTCCATCTGTACCATCATCAAGGATGAAAGTCATGGATAAATGCATAATAAATTGAGCCATGGCCTTGTCCTCCATGCCTGGGAAGTGCTGAGGAGAAAAGTAGTGGCTGAACTGTAAGAGTCCAGCCACCTCCGTCCAGCAGCAGCTGCTGCTGTGCAATAGAGCCCAAATCTGCTCCTCCAGAAGCAGGTACCTATGGGGGCATCTGTATCAGCGTTGCACTTTGGACTCAGGCTGGGCTTTTGAAATGGGTTTCCCTGTTTGTCCCCACTCTCCTAGGCTTGGCTTCCGTCAGAATGCCGTCTTGGGCTGTCCCCAGAGGGGTTATTTTTGGAGGACTCTAAACCAGAAGACAGACCTCAGAGGCACAGTCCAAACACTGCGGGGCATTCAGCCTCGGAGTGGGACCACAAAAGCTACTTGGGAATAAACCTCCTGGGAGCTACACAGCACAGATGCTGCGTTCCTCAGTGCCCACTGTTTTCTGAAGATGTGTTACTTGACCCAAGCTGCCCCCAAAGTCCCTCCAAAGGGACATTCCAATCATCTTTTAATTACAAGGGAAATCGTAGGAATTGCACAGAAGCCACTCTCTCCTGTCCCCCTACAGCATAAAGGTTAGGGAGGGATACAGAAGGCTTCCTCCTTTTCTGCAGACAGGCCCCAAATGTGACAGGTCTTGGTCTTCTTACAGAGAGGGGTGATGCATCCTACTGCCTTTTCTCCTGCTATCTCCCTGATTCTGGGGAGATGATTGCTCCTTCATCCTGGCCTAGCTCAACAGGACTGGATGCTGCTCCCCCTCAGAGTATTCTGAGGGCCTAGACGCCCCGTGGCAAAGCAGCTGTGGATTACAAATCCCAGACTGTCCACTTCTTGGAGTACTTTAACAACAGTAACTTCTTTTTTTAAATACAGCTGCCACCATGACAAGCTTTTAACTGGCACAAAGCCGCCTTTTAGGCTGTGGGTCAGCTCTGAAATAACAAGAATCACAGCTTTTCCGGGAGATTCAGGCAGCTCATGACCTAAATGTGGAAACACAACCTGAAGGGAGCAGGTAAGGCGTGCCTTTTCAAAAAGCCTTCACCAAAATCTCAGTGAATTATTGACAGACATGAAGCCTTCTGGGTTTTGAGATAAATTTCAACCAAGCAAACATTTACTTTCTGAAAGCAAACCCCAAAGCTCTGAAGGCAAGTGATGCCTCAGCGCTAGCCATCTTTCTGGCAGGATACTGCTTCTGGACTGTAGTGAGCATTCTGCTGCCACGGCAACAAGCACAGTAACAAAAAAAATCCAGCTCACCCGGATTAATATTTTGAGACAACTGCTGTGCTGCAGCAAACATATTTGCTGATGATTCTAGAAACTGCAGAGGAAACAAATAAGATTAAAGTTATGTCATTAATAAATCAACACACTTAATAATGGTAAGATTTTAAAGAACACATTCCTGTATTTTAAATGCCAAGAGAGTCTGACCACCTAACACAGATACAGTCCTTGGCATTGTCCTGTATTAACTCCTGCTTCAAATTTAGTATTTTTAAACTACAGAATCTTTAGAAAAGCCTTCAATTTGGATTTACAATTTTTCCAGTGCTAAAAAGGCCATCAGACCCTCAATAAACTGTTCAAGTGATTAATGGCATCATTAAAAATACACTTCCTATTTCTAGGTTGAACCTCCTTGGCCTCAACTTGCAACTGAAGTATCCAGTTATACATTCCCTGTGACAATTAAGGACAAACTGTTGTGTCCTCCCAATTTTGGCATTTAGAAAATTACTGTTGGGTGTCCCCTTTTCCGTTTAACAGATGATCATCTTCAAGTCTGGAAAGGTTAAGTGTGCAAAAACCTTTCTAAAAGAAAACTTGGCAGCTGTAGGAAGTATTGCTACAGAAAGTTGTTTTCTTCAGGAATCAGCATAGTCTGACAGGCTCAGTGCCTGACAAACACACAAAGCTCTTCCTCCTCCTACTACACTGTGGCTTGAAAACCTCCTTGAAAAACACCCACAGACTTTGAGAGGATTTGGCACTGGGGTAACCCAATAACTTGTACCCAAAATACTGTTTCAGACCCAACAAAAACAGGAAGGTGAATGCTTAAAAGTGGCACAGATCAGAACTAGCAGTGAGAAAACACTCCTACTATCACAAAACTGTGAGCATTCTCTCTCTTTGGTATCTAACCAGCTATCACACTTGCAAATATAAACAGTCACCGAACGGTTTGGGTTGGAAGGGACCTTAAAGCCCATCTAGTTCCAACCCCCCTGCCATGGGCAGGGACACCTTCCACTAGACCAGGTTGCTCAAAGCCTCATCCAGCCTGGCCTGATGTTACAAAAGTCATCATATGTGACCATGAAGCTGCTGATGCCTGGTCTGGAAAAGCTTTGCAAACCCTAGAGGTGTTCTTGCGTACCTGGGCTATTTTTGTTTTCTTCTGCTGGAATTTGCAAAGACGCAATATCCGTGTCCCTGACTGGTCACTGAACTGTTCGTGGAACGGGTGCAGCAGCTGAACAGTCTCTCCAAAGCTTCAGAAGAGAAGAATTATAGTGTGAGACTGGTACTTGCATTCTGCTCTGAAGTCTCGAAGAAAAGTCAAGATTTCCAATAAACTCACCTACACACAGCAATTTGTCCCACTTCCAGAAGGGTCAGTGCATTTCCAATAACCGCCAGGGATTCGTACGCAAGCTATTGAAGAAAGAAATTACAGCAGAAATAAGATATTCCAACTTCTACTCACAGCTAACAGAAGGTTACTGATATTAATTCTCATCATCTAGTGCAATCAGAGAATAAAATAAACGAATATCACAGAATAAACACGTGAAGGAACTTCCTATCCTTTTTCCTGTTAGTTATGCAAGGTGGTCACTGCAATCAAGACACAATAGTTCTGCTTCAGGGCTTCAGCTGATTGATTCAGAGACACCGCTTCAGGCAGGTAATGAAATACACCCTGAACTAACTACTTGGAAGGAAACACATTTTTAACAAATAAACACCGTGCAAGTGAGCTGTGCTGAACTAACATTTAATCTTCCAATAAACTGCAGCGCTATGCAAATTTCCACCTTTTATAGGCTACGAAAAATAATTATCCAGTGGATACGTACCCCTCTAGCAAACTGAACATCTCCTTTCAGCTAACTTTCACTGAACTTTTCGTAACAATCTCCTAGGCACCAAGTGACAAGAGCTCAAGCTGAGAGACCAGAACAGCAACTGCTCTACAATCACCCGGGTCAGGCTTTGCAAAGGCTTCTGTGTGAAATAAGTCAGCAGCTGACCAAACTCAGTGACAGGTCGTGTCTTCATGCTTCTCCCAGGGTTCTTATTTTACCTGTTTAGAGTGATTGTCGATCATACTAGAGGAATCGTCGATAGCCAAGCAAATCTGGTACTGCCGTTTACTGGGCTTGGTCCTTCTCAACCAGATCTTGTCTTTTCGGAACTGACTGGCAATGTATGGAATCACTTTGCGCATGTTCAGTCTCTTCCCTGTTCTGTAGTCTCCTCTGAAAGTTAAGGAAAAGGCATAGCGGCAGGGATTATCAACAAATACCTCCTTCTGGAAATCCTGGCCCGTGCAGCATGTACAGCAAACCAACCGAATTTTGTAAAAGGCGACAGAACAAAATTAGTAGCTCTAATGTTTATATTTAGGTATAGAACAACAACAACAAACATTCTCACGTTCTTAATGCAAGATGGATAGTTAGTGTTTTTAGAAGTTCTTAAATCTAGATGCCTAAAATGGAAGGAAGACCTTGAATTCAGACTCCTCTAATTTGAAACAAGCCTAGATCCCGTAAGAAAACCATCACACTGTAACAACATCGAACGTTTTGACATTTAACATAATCTTTGAATCAACAGCACTTCACACAGAACTAAAACAAATTGCATTTGCAAGCACAAGTAATTGTTATAAAGCAAGAACAACACAGAGCTGCAGTTGTACAGAAGTTAACGCCCTCCAAAACCAGCAGTTTAAAGAAACTAGGAACCTCAGAAAGACCCAACTTACTTCAGTTTGGCAGCTTGAGTGGGTTCCAGTATGAGTCTTAGCTGTTCACAGAGCTGCTGCGAGAGGGGAGCCGTCAGTACTAAATACCTCTGCCACAACTGTGCCGCTTCCTTCTCCTAAAACATCACAGACAAAAATAAAAGTGAATTACGGAAAACCAAAAAGTTGGGAAGCACTGCCCAACAAAAGACAGCAAACCTCTGCGTCCCAAGGGGGAGGCAGAAGGTGACTACCAGCTGTGACCGTGAGGGGGTCTTGTACGAAGATGACAGCTGGCATTCAATCCTTGCTGCTACAAAGCTGCAGAGCGCAACAACTGCTCCTCTACGAGCACACGCAGCAACTCTGGCGTTGCTGTTGGTATGGCAAAGTCTTGTAACAGCCAGCATCTGATAGGTGGTATTACAGCAAGGCAGGCCGTAAAGCCTGCTAGGTTCTCTATTTGCCATCCAAACTGGTATTACTGAAATTAATTACAATTCAGCAAAATTGCTAAGCCTCTACACTGGCAATTTCATTCAGGACTTACTTCCAAAAATGGTTTATAGTTCATGACTAAGCCAGTCACAGTAAGTATGACATTCTGGTTCTGCTGTTGGTTAAGCTCAAACACCACCACTGAAATGGGACGGCTTCTGTCCATCATCATGACGTGGAAGTGGTGTCCAGCACTTGGCTGGAGGTGACAACTCAAAACCAAGGAGCTTGGCAGGAGCGAAAAAACTGTTTCTAACTATTTAACTTTTAGAAGTCATTACCAGCAGAGTAACTTTCTGCACACAGCACATTGAAATGACCACCTGAAACATCATCTTACTTTAAGACTAATGTTTTTTTTCTTTTTCTTATTTCAGAATAAGTTAAACATAACAACAAAAATAGCATCTAAATAATGTGGTTTTGAATATTAAATTCCAGCCTGCTTGGCTTTCTCAATGCGTCAGCAGTAAACCAAGATGAAACAATGCAATGAAGGATTCTTATGACAGCTTTATGCTAAAATGAAGTTACGAACCTCATCTGCAGTCCCAGGCTGCTGTGTCTGCCAAGCTTCCAGTTGCCTTTCAAGTTCCTTTCTTAGCTCTTCAGGATCTCTGATGATGGGCTAGAAGCGTAGTTACAAGATTGAAAAACAAATTTACACATTGTGTGATCCCCAAACCATAATGAATTATAAAAAAGTAAAAATGCATTGTTCTTATTCTTTTAGACACGAAAATACCTGAGAAAAAACATAAATGAAGATTCTAAATCTCCATTTTTTTAATTGCTGCCATGTACAGGAAGGATCAATACCCCCCCACAAATACCCACACCTGTGACACAACAGACACAGAAACAAAGCTGGGAACATCTATGATACAGACACTGGAAATAATCAAATACAGAACTTGAAGGTGAGTCAATGAAATTACCTTGACAAACATGAGATTTAATGACAGTATAATGGAGATCCAACTACGGAATACTACCTATCTGGTCTCTTCCAAAATAGGCTATGCTTCACTTCAACTACAGGCTTTAAAAAGCTTCATTCAAACCACTTAAGGAATTGAACAATGTCTTCCTCTTTACCTGCCAGCAAATACTGTTTGACAAGCCATTCCTGTTAAAGGACACCCAAGCTTTATTACTCCCCTTCAACTTTTACCATGCTTTCAGCGACAAGTTCTGCTCCTGGCTTGCAGAACCTTAGTTTAGCCCAACAGCAGCACCATCTGCATAACCTGCCGGTTTACAGATTAGGGAAAATAAGCCTAAGAATGCAAATTGAACAGATTCACAGAGCTGAAGGGGTTGGAAGGGGCTTCTAGAGATCATCTAGCCCAGCCCCCTGCCAGAGCAGGATCACCTCGAGTGGATCGCAAACAGTACCAACAACTTCTAATTCCTCAAGAAGCTGCAGCAGCACCTCTGGTCACCTACTGCAGGGTTAAGGAAGGCAGGAAGAATGCACACGGAGGGGTCCCCTTCCCTCTTCCTTTCGCTGAAAGATGAGAACTTTCACTTTTCCCCCAGTAAGGTTTCTCTCTTCCTCTTTAACTGGTGATGCACGAGCTCCCCCTCCTGATGCAGGTTTTGCATGTCAACTGGGGAAAAACACCCCAACAAAGCCACCAAAACAAACAGCACATAACTGCCCCGACAACTGGAGCAGGCTCTTGCATTCAGGAGCCCCTTTCCAAAGAGCTGCCACATTTAGCATTAAGATGGACATACCAGATACACCTGGCATACGAGCCTCTGCCTGGTGCGTGAAGAAACAGTAAAATACCGCCCGCAAAGCACGTACTCAGGACACGCTATAAGCGTGAAAGGTCGGTACTTGCAGAAGACAGACGCTGAAGACACCCTTACTTATCAACAGGTAACCCACCATCAGCTGCTCCTGTGCCGTAGCTCTCGCTGCTAAAATGCGCTTGGACACAGGTAACAGTTTGCACTGGGTAACTACGAATGTCACGTGAAGCTCTAGGGCTTTCTAGGCAACGATAATACTTTAACTGCAACCTTCATAAAAGGCTCACAAGAGTTCTGTAAGACTTCCAGTCAGCTTTTTTGAGGAAGCAATGCATTGTGATCAGTTAAGTGAGGTGAATTCTTTGTCCACAACGGTATTTTAAGGTCACTGATGCCTAACTCTCTCATCACTGAGCCCTTTGATTTTATCTTTCACCAAGTTCTTCCCAGAGAGGGTGGTGAGGCACTAGAACAGGTTGCCCAGAGAAGCTGTGGATGCCCCATCCCTGGAAGTGTTCAAGGCCAGGCTGGATGAGGCTTTGAGCAACCTGGTCTAGTGGAAGGTGTCCCTGCCCATGGCAGGGGGATTGGAACTAGATGATCTTTAAGGTCTCTTCCAGCCATGATTCTATAATTCTATGACTTTTCACTCTACTCAAGCAGTTGATCAGCAATTCATGTAAGCACAACAGTTCTTGACAGTTAAAAAACCAGAACTTATTACTTTTTTTTAAAAAGAGTAAGGACAGAGAGGATTTGTTATTTTGCAGTCATTATTCAGCTGCATATACAACAGTTGGTTGTGTGCTACTTCTCATTCTGCTATTAAAGAACAGCTACCGAGCTGTCTGAATGAAAATAACGCCGAACTTTTGCATTCCTGGAGTTTCATTAATTCAGGTCAAATAAACCAGCCTGCTTCTACTACTGTAGCTGTAAGACGACATGCTGGGTATCATACCTGGGGAGCATCCATCAGAAACTGATGGGCTGTGTGTATGGTCGAGTCCTTGCTTCTCTCTGGCTTCTCTTCAGTCACCTTTGGTAGCGGTTCTGTTGTAGAGTCATTGGCATCCTCAGAGTCCAAAGTCTGGATCTCTGGCTCCGTTTCACCTGTGCCTACAATCACAAAACCAATTACTCGTGGATCACACGTAAGACAAGAACCAATATTGTATCTCAACTCTTTCACAAATTGTCTCACGTGCTTTGTGGTGCAACACAGACGTAATTAAGATAAATGCACAAATGTGAAGAAAAATCTAAAGAGTAGGATGAACACCAGACCTTGCCACTCACTGGAACAGATAAATAATGCATTTCCTACGGAAACTGGTTTTCTTTCTTATAACCTCCTTGCCAAATGAACAAAATATTAGCGAAATGATCTTTAACACCTCAAAATTCCATTGGTGAAGTACACTTTGTGAGCTTCACAGCCTCTTACACAGAGTGACAGGAGGTGTAAAGCAATTTGAGAACTTTCAGAAAATCACAGAATCACAGAATGGTTTGGGCTGGAAGGGACCTTAAAGACCATCTAGTTCCAACCCCCCTGCCATGGGCAGGGACACCTTCCACTAGACCAGGTTGCTCAAAGCCTCATCCAGCCTGGCCTTGAACACTTCCAGGGATGGGGCATCCACAGCTTCTCTGGGCAACCTGTTCCAGTGCCTCACGACCCTCTCCGGGAAGAATTTCTTCCTGGTATCCAATCTAAACCTCCCCACTTTCAATTTAAACCCGTTCCCCCTTGTCCTGTCACTACAGGCCCTTGTAAAAAGTCCCCCCCAGCTTCCTTGTAGGTCCCCTCATCATTACAAGTACAACAGCAATCTTTTATTACATCTTTATTTACTCTCTGCTTTTGTAACGTAACAGTTTTGGGTAAATCAGAAATCAATTTAATAGTAAATGGAAGTGACTAAAGGTTTTATTTCATTGTTGTAAACTCCTGTTTAACAGTATGTTTTTTACAAATTATTCTAAGGCAAAAAAATAGTATGGCACCGTAGCAGATGTTTCAAAGACCCTAGTTTTTCAAAGCATACTGTTAGAGAACCAGGTGGAAAAGCAAACAGACTGATTCCAGGCGTGCCTGTACCACGTGGCTCAAGGGATTTAAGCGAAGAGATTAAGCCTGAAGGGAGTGGGAGGCGAGAAGGTGAATTCAGACTGGTAAAACTCTCCACTCTCCAGCCAGCCTTTGTGTTGTTTGATAAGACAACTATTCAAAACTCCCAAGTGACAGTGCCATTTACTTAGAGTCATCAAAACGGAATGCTTCTGCTGCAATTGGCCAGAGACATCTCTTTATATCTAGCTCACTTGTTTACGTGGGCTGTGTGGCTGACAAGTCAGACCTGTCTTCTCCTCTCCCAACCATTCAAATCTGATAGCCATTTTCTGCTAGGCAGCTCAGTTCTGTTTGCTTTCATTCCCACTTAGGGAAGAAAGCAGTGAGACAGTGACACTTTGGCCTCACGGGATGTTGTTCAGCCCAGCCCCTCCTCATCTGGGTGTTTTGTCAGAAGTTACATACAAAAAGAGCCGAGTAGCCAGAGTGCCTTGTTATGTGCCAGTTAATTAACCAAACTGGCACTGTGTCTAAAAGAGGGAAGATGTTTGCTTTTCACTTCTTTGAAGAAGAGGATAAAGATTAGAGACCGTTAACTTGAAGGAGAGCAGCAAACCCCTCTGTCACTCAACCCACTTAGCAAAGGCCAACGCTGGTTACTAGGCAGGAGTAAGAACGCTGCTGCAGAACAGCTCATTAAGAGCAGATGTTTTAGTGTTATAATGCATATATGCACCCAGTACGTGCCAATAAAGATACCTATATATAAATTTAGAGATGCACATCAGCATGTATTTAGAATATTTAAGTTAATTTACCAGGAGTTTTAGTGGCAGTAGAGTTCTTTTTTTCTGGCTTCAGCTCCTCTGTGTCTACTGCTGTCAGATCCTCATCGTTCTGCATTTCTGTTTCCATAGCTGCATCTTCAGAATCGCCCTCTTCCTTTTCTTCAAGGGGCATAATAGGTTTCTCCTGCTCCTTGCTGGCCACATCTACACAGAGACAGCAATACTTAAGGTTTTTTTAAAGAGGAAGGAAAAGTAGCATAAAGGAAAAGCTGCAAAAAACCCGCTGCATTCTGAGGGCACTAAGTATCAAGAGTTATAATGAACTTCACAAAGGATCAGCTGAGCTATTGTCTCAAGCCTTCGTTCTATCTTTCACTGCACCGTGCCCTGCTGTGTCAATCAGCTATTGCCCTGAAAACCTGATGAATAAATTAGACTAATTACTTTAACAGAAAACAATTTAGTTAAATTTAGATCATAGAATCATAGAATGGGTTGGGTAGGAAGGGACCTTAAAGACCATCCAGTTCCAACCCCCCTGCCATGGGCAGGGACACCTTCCACTAGACCAGGTTGCTCAAAGCCTCATCCAGCCTGGCCTTGAACACTTCCAGGGATGGGGCAGCCACAGCTTCTCTGGGCAACCTGTTCCAGTGCCTCACCACCCTCTCCGGGAAGAAGTTCTTCCTTCTTCCTTCCAATCTAAACCTCCCCACTTTCAATTTAAACCCATTACCCTTGTGCTGTCACTACAGGCCCTTGTAAAAAGTCCCCCCCAGCTTCCTTGTAGGACCCTTCAGGTACTGGAATACGAGTGCTTCAGGATGGATTCTGCCAGGACAGCTCTTTACACCCCAAAGTACCACTGTACCGTATGTCTGTGCATCATAGCATTCGGAGCCTTGCTTAATGTGTTCAAATGCATCAGCCTCCTCCACGTTTTGCTGGGGCTGAGTTGTATTCTGCTTTGCTTCACTGCTGGATTCTATGGTTCTCAGTCGCTTGTGGATACGTTCGTTGTGATCTCCCATCGAGCGTTCATTATCTGCCTGGCCAGGTTTCCTCTTGAAACTCTGAAAAGTAACAAATGAACACCATGAACATTGAGTGAGACGCAACCAAACACCGATTAGAACAAGAGTGCTATCAAGGAGAAACGGAGTCCTGCCTATTTGCTGGTTAATACTAAGACACTCAAATGATAAGAAAATTAAAATTAAAAAGAAGAGGTGAACCTGGGTGTTTTTCCTGCTTTGCTTCTGAGAAGCCATCCGGGCCATGCGTGTGGATTCATGGCCTTCTGCTTGATTGGCACTTGAAGCTCCGCTTCCATATTCCTAAGACACCAAAAAAATTGCAGTGGTAACTGAAAAGGGATTTAGTGACCATTGAAGACAAATTTGAGAAGTTAAACTGCTGCCTTCTGTGGTGACTGACAAGTGGCTCGCAACTGCAAGCATTATGCTTGCGGAGAGCAAACAATACAATTCCGCAGCCCAACAATTTGCCTAAACTTACCACGTTATTTTCACTGCTAACAAGCTATCCTCACGGTCTTCAATTTTTTTCAGTGAACTTATAATTGACGTTCTAAAAATTGACTCAGACGCAATTCTTGAAAATATGGCAGCAATTTCTTGAATGTAACTTGAAAACATATTCACAAGTTTAACCCTGACAATTCCATGTAACTTACCTCTTTAGACTGGTCTCTTTCTGAAGCCTCTCCAGCCAGCTCAACAGCACTGTCACTCTGCAGGTTTTCCTGCCCAGTCTGTCCTTGTGTTTCATGCTCCATTCTTTCCTCAGGCTCAGGGACTTGTTCATCCATCTCTGAGTTATCTTTATCTTCTTCTTCCTGAAATAACAGTTTATTTTAACATAAAAAAAAAAAAAAAGGAAACAGAAGGCCAAGGAGGTAACAGGAATAAAGATGACAAATACACCCGTTTAATAGTGAGCATCTCTCTCATCTCAGCGAGCATTATCACTAACATCACACCTACTCAATGTCAAATTTGTTGCAGGGTATCATAGAACACACCTATTTAAGTCTTGTATAAGATAATTAAAAAAACAAAAAAAACCAAAAAAACCCAAAAAAACCCCAGACATTTATTTATTATTCTCTACCTGAGGCTGAAGGCCTTGGTCAGCAGCAGGGATTCCCTTATCTTCAGCAGCTTCATTTTTTTCCTCATCAGGTGGTTGTGACTCCTCTTCATCTGCTGCATCCTCAGTGTTTTCTGCATTTTCTTCTTGATCGTCAGCATCTCCGTCCCCTTCATCTTCCTTATCCTCTTCCTTATCTTCAGAGATGCCTTCTTCAGCCGGTTCTGCATCTTGATCACCTCTGTCTGTCTCACCAGCATCCTCTTCATTCTGTTCTTCTGTCTTCTCCGCCTCATTTAAATCAACAGGTTTCTCGTCTACTTCAAAGGCATTCTCTTCTTCTGGATTTAAAAACGTAATCAGAAAGGTATACAAAACTTTCAGCCAAGTAGAGAGACAATATTACAGATATTTGGAATAAAACTGATCAGCCCATCAAAAAAATCTTAACAAAACCGTCAAAAATTCTATACATGGGATCTGTGCATTTCTGTAGCAGATAATTTCTTTGAGTATAACTAACAATACAGCAGGACTAATTCCTATCAAGTTCCTAACTCACTTAATATTCTTGAGGGTCAGTTGACTTTAAGTGCAAATGGTTATAAGTATCAAGGAAAAGAAACCACAAAAGCAACCAGACAATAAAATAAGGAGCTTCTAGCTTAGGGTGTAGTGTATCATTTGGGTAACACGAGAAAGCCTGCTCCACAGCATGTGGGAAAGGGAGGTAAAGGATAATGCTGTAATGTTGAGTTCTTTCTTACCTGGCATGCATTGGGAATCCTGGTATTTTGATACAGAGAAGTGAATTTGCAGCTTCTTGTTACACAGAATCCTACCACCACCTGTCGTCTTTCTACAGAGAAAGTGAGCTCAGTAGAATCACAGGATGGTTTGGGTTGGAAGGGACCTTAAAGATCATCTAGTTCCAACCCCCCTGCCATGGGCAGGGACACCTTCCACTAGACCAGGTTGCTCAAAGCCTCATCCAGCCTGGCCTTGAACACTTCCAGGGATGGGGCATCCACAGCTTCTCTGGGCAACCTGTCCCAGTGCCTCACCACCCTCTCCATGAAGAACTTCTTCCTGATATCCAATCTAAACCTCCCACTTTCAATTTAAACCCATTATCCCTTGTCCTGTCACTACAGGCCCTTGTAAAAAGTCCCCTCCCAGCTCACATGTAGGCCCCTTCAGGTACCGGAAGGCTCATTATCTGACCGTTCCTCTGTATTTCCATCTGGCTTTCACCTGGGAATCTGCAGAGAGATTTTTCAACTGTACCTTCATCCTCCTCTTCCTCATCACTCTTCTCATTACTCTCCAGGTTCAAATTATCAGGAAGGTCCAAAGGTTCGACTTCAGGCTGCTTTTCTTGCTGGCCATGATAGGGATCTACTTCATTGTCATCATACTCGCGCTGTCAGCAAAAGAATGAGGGCAAAAAGTAACAGGCATGTAGTAAGTGGGAGGAAAGGGAAAGATGAGAAATAAGATATGACTGAATTTTCCAGGACACAGAAATACTGGACACAATATCACATTCTGACTGGTTAAAAATTAATTTCCAATGGTACACATCCTCATGTATAAAAAGCAGAAAATGATTAATTTCAGCAAATGCATTTACATAAATTGTTACTTCTTCAAAACAGCATATTTTTGTGTTCAGAATCCAACTGTCCTAGCTGAAAGACTCCAAACAGAATCTGCCCTCTTGCATACTGCGGAGAATCTTCAAGCACACTGTATACAGATTTTTTGGGATGAGTCCCACTGACTTAAGATGTTTCTCTTTCTACACACAAGAGAATAAGAATTTTTAAGCTTGTCCATCAATGCATCAGTTCAGTGTAAAGCCTGTTTAGACAGCCATTAAAAGTTCAGGTTAGTTAGTGCAAACAAAAAAATCTTTCTGGATTATTGATCAGAAAACATACATATAATGGATAATGTGGTTTATTTTTAGCTCTGAAACGAACAAACTTTTTCAATGCATTTCCCTATTAAATACAGAGTATTTCAAATTCTCAGAAACACAGTGTGAGCAACAGAATGTGGTTTAACAGCAAGATACTCTGTGCAGTCCAAATAGTTTTTACCTCATCAATTTGTTCATGTATTTTCTCTTTGCTTTCACTGTCCTCTTCTTGTTGCTCTTTTTCCTCATCCTTGGGAGGCTGTTTTTTATTATCCTTGTTTCCTGTGCCCAAATTGTCGTCTTTTGCAACGAGCTCTGAATCCTCCTGTTAACCAATAAATTCAAAAGAAAACTCAATTATGCTACCTGCTTCTCGAGGTCTGAGGGACAAGACATCTCCTACTGAAAGACGACAACTCTAAGTTACTTGGGATATACTCAATTTATCCCTTTCCAAGACCAAGAGCCATGCAAGTGAGTTTGCGGTCTATGTCACATCAAGTTAACAGTTTAATTCCTTTTGATATTCTTCCCATCACTTTTTTATTCACCTCATCCATTCCTGGTCCAGTTTCTTCCGTTTTACTACTGGCATCTTCATCATCGTCTTCATCTTCATCCCCCCAGAGCCTCTCATCCAGTTTATCATCAGCTTCAGCATTATCAAGATTTCCCATTTGCTTATCCAGCTCCTCCTCTTCATCAGAATTTTCATCATTTTCTGTGTATGGTTGAGAAAGTTTCAATACAGAAGAGATAAAGTTAACTGTTTTTATTCAGAAACAACCCAGCAGCAATACTTGCACCTGAATCTCATCACCCTATGCAGTTGAGAGATGTGAAAAACACCCCACACATGCACTAACACCCCAAAGGGCGGGGTCATAATTATGTGGTTCGGAGTGTTCTCTTGGACATACAGACACACGTGGCATCCCCTCCCTCAGACGAACAAGTCCCATTTACAAAACTTGGATGCATTTAAACTCTCTATTCCTTCACTGCTCCCTCTTCCATTTTCGATGTTTTTGGCATTACTGTGAGGGGGAAGATCCATTCCACTTCATCTGTTTATTAGTTTGGGCATTTCCCTTGTTGTGCAGATGAATCAAACCTCTGACAGAGTGCCAAGATTAGGAAGTAGGTTAACACTACCGTAATTTACAAGCCACATTAGTTTCAGATGTTCAGGCTATTGCCTTTTAAAGCGAAGACCTGCTACCTTTCGGGTGAGTGGCAACTTGAATGAATTTACCAAACGTAGCTATTTTTTCCATTTCAAAAAGGTAAAGTGAAATTATTTTCATTGCTTAAAACATTCGCAGTAGCCTCATTAGTGATGTTCAGAAGTTAAGTACAGCCGTATCCTCAAGTGTTCTGTTGAACTTCAACAGCTCCACAAAGGCAGTGACTAATTTCAAAATTTGTCAGCTCCCAACAGGAAGAAAGAATCAACTCCATTCCAAAACCACTACAGTGACAGAAGACCGACAGTATTTTCTTTGCACACCTCTCTGCATTCACAGTAATGCTTTTCAGTATTCATATCCCAATGGCACTGCTCTATTAACACTGACTTTTCAGTATATGCTTCACTATATAAAAGTATCAACCATTATTGGACTGATCTATAATATTTCTTGTAACTTTGCCATTGTGGAAGGACCAAACCTTTTTTCTCCTGTTCTCCATCATGCATTTTTCCTTCAAAGTCTTCTGACATTTCAATTGCATTGTCTTCTCCTTCAATGTCTGGTTTAGAATCTTGATCCTCTTTCTCCTTCTCTTCACCCTTTTGAAAACTGTCTTCTATCTGAATTATTGGTAAAGCCAAAAGTTAAAATGGATCTTGCCTATATATTAAAACTTCAAGTACCACAACATTTATAAGCTTATATGCAGACAGAAAAGCCAACCTAAATAGGAGACTGAAGACAACTTCATGTTTCTTTTACCTGAAACACCTACAAAATGGATTTCTAGGGTTCTCTTTAGTTTTACTTTAATTAAAGAACAACCACCCCAAAGACTTACCTGATCTTCACTTTCTATTTTGTCGCTCACATCCTTCTTGCCTTCCCCATCTCCAATACCACCATCCTCGTAATCATGAAACTGTGTTGCTCCCTCTCCAGCTTCATCTTCAAGTAATTCTTTTGGAAGACAAAACCCCTGCAAAGGCAAACAGAAACTCAAAACCTTCTGTAGGAGTGAGTACATCTTTCAGCTTAGTTTCACCTTAAGACTTTCGCCACCTTAAATATATGCTTACCATATATCCACGGTTATCTCACCTTTTGGGCAAGCTCTGTAAAAATGCTGGTTAGAACGGAAAGCAATTTTCCGGTACTCCTGTGAGACGCCAGTGAAACAGTGAGGTAGAACAGGATAAGGTCTGAATACTTGCAGAGCATGGGCTTTAGGCGCACCAGCAAAAAGCAGGACTGGTTGAAGCACTGCGATGAAAACCAAAGAACAGTGGTCAAACATGGTTATGCACATACTGAGATGCACCTCAGAGCAGGGGATGATGGAGACTGAAAAAACAGATGCTCAAACCAGATCAGAAAGCAGGTTTAACTACAATTTGTGAAGTTTCCAGAGCTTTTTCTGGATTTTCACAAAAATTAAAACTCTTCCTTCTTACTAAAGGGACATCTGGCTTATGCACTACAGACAAGCACCTAATATTGGCCAAATTTCTCATGTTTCTAGTTGCAAGGTAGTGGACAATGAGACACAATGCACGTTTAACCACCAGAGTTCACAACTCCAGATCTTCTGAGACCTCTAAGCCAAACACTCTTGAGAAGAACAATTCTACCTGATGTCTATCCGAAGTGTGATCTTCCCCATAAGATTTCAGGTCCTCCAGGAGTTCTGAAACTGCTAAAATTGTTTTCTGCACATGCAAAGAATCCAAGTCAGCAGAGAGGTCTTCATCCAACAGCTTAGTTATATGTCCTGCTTTAATCACATCAAATGAAGCTGGGTCCTCTGCTTGAAATACATCAAAATACGGAGACCAAGTCAGACATTCTAAAAATGTTACAGCAAGCAACCTAGAAATATCCATCCTATCTTAAATACATACCTTCTATTAAAACAGCAGTTTCCTTGTGTATTGGTACCTCTGCTAGACACACAGTTCAAGGACTTTTTAGGTCTGCATAGTTAAAAAACCAAGCTGCTCTCTCCCCCCTAGGTAAATTAACAAACTTACCATTTTCCTCTGCAGATTTTTCTTCCTCTTTTCCATCTTTCTGTTTTTTCTCGACCAAACACTGGATGGCATACAGAACAACACGGATAACAGTTTCCACTTTTGCCGAGAAGTGCTCCACAAACTCTTCATCTGACTGCTGATTTCCTTTTGAACACATCAAGTTACAGGTTACTATGTTTCCCCTATGCAAAGGGCATGATTAGCACTATTTTTGGCGTTCGGTAAGCAATTTTTACCACATAGCTCTATTAAAATCTCCTTGCTAAGCCTGACCTACAACTGTGGTGTAAGATCTGTTATCAGCGGTGACTAAGGAGAGGAAAAACAACCCCAAACTTTACTGCACAACTCAAGTATGGACTACATTTTGCAATTTGAATTTCAGCAGGTGTCTCTGGATACCTGAATCAACATGTATCCATCTTCTGCAATAACAATGATTTTTTGTATCTTCAGCTAGATTACAAAACGGGCAGAGAAGAATTGTCCTTACCACTGCAATTTGACATGGAAGCAAGAAGCTGTGTTCTCCAGGCCGTGAAGTCTGCGGATGTATCATTAACAACTTCTCGTATATACTTTAGGCTCTTGATTAGGGCCATCTGATTTGCAGCTTGACTGTCTTCCCCATCTGGAAGAAACAGGGACTGTACGCCTTGTAACTGAGCTGAGACTTCCAGCAAACAACTCACAGCTGATGTGCAAACTTCAAAATCTCTCCTGCAACAAGAAATACCGCAATACTGAAAGAAGAACAAACACTCCAATTTAAGACTAAACCTTTTCTTGGGGCAGGGATGAGAGGAAGGCAGCTGATCTCCATCTTGTATTTACTAAATAAGAAGTCTGACAACAAGCAAGTGTGCCACTTATACTCACCCTGTTTGAAGGCAACAGAAATTGAGAGGCATATATAGTTGTTGTTGTAATTATTATGAAATGGGCTACAGAGCTCTTAAAAATTTCTTCATTAAATTTACATTTGAAATTCACCTCATCAACTAAGGAGCTACAGGGATGAAACCCCAGGAGATCAAAGACACTAAGAAGCTGAGACAAACCACCTCCTTTGTGACTTGTCAGGGGAGGGGAGACTTTTTGCCAGGGCCTGTAGTGACAGGACAAGGGGTAATGGGTTTAAATTGAAAGTGGGGAGGTTTAGATTGGACGTCAGGAAGAAGTTCTTCACAGAGAGGGTGGTGAGGCACTGGAACAGGTTTCCCAGAGAAGCTGTGGATGCCCCCTCCCTGGAAGTGTTCAAGGCCAGGCTGGATAAGGCTTTGAGCAACCTGGTCTAGTGGAAGGTGTCCCTGCCCATGGCAGGGGGGTTGGGACTAGATGGGCTTTAAGGTCCCTTCCTACCCAAACCATTTTATGATTTGTCTAAAAAGCCAGGCACTGCATTTTGCAAGAAAAATGAACAGAAAGAAGCTTCAAGAGCACCTAAACACACTTAAAAGTATGTATGGACAAACATTTTCAAGATGACTTCATCTTATACGAATGCACAACACCCAGATTCAATTTCATCCGCATGTAGAACTCACCAGGAATAAAACAAGGTCTCACGTGACTGTTGTCTTATTTTGTCCACTTCTGCTTTCATGGCCTTCACCTTAGCCAGCATTGCAGTCAACTGTGTACTGAGCTGCAGCCACAACTGATCCTTATTTCGCATCCTGCATCCAGGAGGCAGCTGCTCAATTGTTACTGGAGACAAGTATTTCAGCTCTGAGGGAATTAGGTCAGGTATTCCCATAAAAGCATTTCCCATTTCAGGTCCTGAACTCTGAAAGACGTTTGTTTTGACATCTGTCCTTTCACCATCACTGCACTTGGTTAGCTCTTCTTTAGGGCAGCACTGTATAAACCAAGACAGCTCCTCCAGAACCACCACGCACTGCATGGAAAGTTGCTGCAGTCTGTCAGTCCAGTGTTGAATGCTGCCCTGAGGAGGAAGTGCTACACCATATTCTTTGTCAGCAGTCAACCTTGAATCTATCTCTTCTATGCAACTCAGGAGGTTCCTGGGTAAGAAGAAAGAAGGAAAAGTTACAATTGCTGAGCTTTATGTTATACTTCCCTTTGAAAAGCTCAACCTTCAACAAAGTTCATAAAAGCTCTAGACACTATGAACTCAGTGGAAGTCAAACTTCTGGAAAAGCTGAAATGATAGTCCTTTTTAAAAAACATTTTTCTTAATTATTGATTTTTTTTTTCCCCTCTCCATTGCATATGTCTGAGTTGTCTTGAAAACAACTTTGTGAGATTTCTCTCATTATAAACTCCTGGCCTCATACTACAATATTATTCATTTTCCTCCATTAAAAAAACCAAATTAGATTCTAACACACAACATTTGTTCTCTCAAGCACTGTGTAAGAGTCGTAACACCTGACAGATCTGATCTGCAGTGAAAGTCACAGCAATTCAGGTAAGTAAAGTTTCACTCTTCCTGCAACCATCAACCACTGTAAAACAACTGCTGGAGGCTTTGTGTCCTGGGCTTTTGGTTGGTTGGTTGGTTGGGGGTTCTTTGGTTCCCTTTTCCAAGTTTCCTAGGATTAACAAATTTTGCACCACTAATCTCCAGTCTAGGTTTCCTTCCCCATGCAAAGGAAATATGACCCAACTTCAGAAAGCCTTATGGATTACAGCAGTGATGGGCACAGACATGCAGAACAGTGGAGGTTGCAGTGGAACTGATGAGTCAAGCAGCAGAGTGAAAAAAAATCACACCAAGTACAGAAGATCTTTTTTTTTTATGATTTTGACATAAGATCTAGTATCTCCCACCTTTCCAGAACTTTTCTTTGTAAGCTGTTGAGTTTTCTTCATTTTGGCTCAAAGTGCCATCCAGATGGTTTGATTCGGAGCAAGTAAGTTAACAACTTGAGCACAGTCAAAATTAACTTACACCAATACCAAATGAGAGAGATCTAACAATCTATAGGTTTAACTTTGTATTTAACTACAGTAATTATTGTATTGTCTTCAAGTAGGCCTAACTTGTTTTTCTGAAATTGTTTGCGAGATATTGGCTGTCATGACAGGATACACAATATCTAACACCACTTTTGCTCTTGCTCCCACCCCTTCAAAACCTTTTCTACGTAGGCTTAATTGAGGGGAGGAGAGGCATGGGAAGTAAGGGCAAGAACTTTATTTTCTTCTACCTTATCTTCCATTTTTCTTCAACTGAATTGCTTACTGTCAAACTCCTTACCAACATTCACATGCTAGGAAATGCAAAAATACCTCAGTAAGATCCACTGTTCTGACAGCGCAGTAAGAGACCGTCTCTGCCTGACAAGCATCTGCATGAGGTGTGCGGTGAATCCTTTGCATCGTTCAATGCTGCCTAGTCCAATCTCCTGAAGAAAACAGATACAGACAAAGTGGGAACAGTTAGATGAACAAGCAGACAACAACAATCTCTGTGCCTCCATTTAATGTCACTGGGCAGGCTGAAAAGTTGTGGTTTAACTGAAAAAGTCTTTAATAACTGTAACTTTTGTCTATGTTTTAAGTTTCCCCATTTTCATTTTTCTACATCTTCCATATATCCTGCATACAGTTTCATTTTCCAGTAGCTTCTGCAACAACAGTCATTAAATGGCACTCTACTTAAGCAGTTATCAGAAACCTAGTTCCAAGAGTAAAGCTACCGTACACAAATGATTAAAATCTCAAGAGATACCAGCCTAAATATTTACAGTCACGACCACTGGTAAAACCAGTTCCACAATTAATTTTACTCGATTTACTGACAATCACTTTCACTCCTTTCATTATAAACAATCCTATTTTAAAGTTTAGAGTAAGTGTTCACAACAGAGCAAAAGTGATCTCAGCTAGGTTCCGTTATTTATAGCTCTGACATTTGACAAGGTTGTGTTGTAAAGAAAAGGGTGAAGCATGGTGAGAAGATAAGCATCTGCAAGAGATCCCTTTTTCCTGGAAGACTGGAAAAGTGGTACTGATTTGGCAGAACTCATTTGTTTTGTCTACTGCTTTTAGACTCATGTTTAAGCAGAGAAATGTATTGTCACTTCTTGTGTGTGGCACAGGCTCCAGTTATGCCCAATTACAAATCTCAACTGATTTTTTCATGAGCACCAACCGAACCTGGTTTTGTTTTCTTAACAAGCTTTAATTCAGCATTTCCAGGGCTTGTTTCACACACAAAAAGTAGCAATTTGGGATCTGTTAGGATGAAAGACACTGTACATTTAACAGATTATTAAATTGGTTCACTGAACAGATATTGTCCAGTCATAAAAAACCAGGTTTTGGAAAGCCCCATTGCATGACTGGCCTTAAAATACCCTATTTTGTATCATACTGCAGAATACAGCATTTCAGCATTTCAAATGCTCAGCTGGTAAAGTGAAGAAAAGTAGGATTTCTACTTTTATTTTGGTGGTTTACCTTGGCAGGTGCTAACATTGCTGTCTGAAGTCTAGAGTGGCGGGCAAGTGACCGATAGAAGTACTTCTGGCATCCATCCCAGGCAGAAGAAATCTCTGTCAGGAATCTGAAAGAGCAGAAAACGGTCCGACACTGAAGGTATGTACTTTCCGTACCTCGGCACACTGGAATCACCAGGTCAGCTTCTCAACCTAACAGATTTGCTTACTATTTGTTATTTTGCAAATGATCTTATAATTCTTCATTTTCTCCACAAGTATTCTGGTCTTAAGAAAATATTTTATATTTTGCAGCTATTGCTTAGGGTTTATTTTAAAAAGCAATCTTTTAATGTCATTTAACACTTAAATAGTGATTTTTTTTTTCCCCATACCCCAAATGCCTCTTGATAAGGGATGCCTGTATTTTGGACTTGATGAAAGATACTATAACCTAAACCCTAACATCTGAGAAGAACAGTAACCAGCATGTCTCAATGACAACTGCTGTCAGAAAACCAAGAAAACCACCTAAAAAGGACAGCTTTCCTCTAGGCAGGTTTTCCCAGAAATGCCCACTTTGAGGTCCACGTATTTTCTTCTCCTGGAATATCCCTTAGTCCTTGAAGACAAAACAATTCAGTAATGCCTGTAAATTGCAACTCACTTTCAGTAAAACCGTTAGCAGTTTACATTTTAATATGATGCTTGCAAAGCATGCCAGGAAAAGCTGGGCAGGGCAGGGCTAATTCATAGAAACAATGAAACTGAGAGTAGAGTTGTCAAAAGTGCAAATTAAAACACCCCTCTCAGTTGTACGTGCCAGTACAGTAGGTACAGGTTTTTCAAACTGAGAAGTAATGGGGGAGGAGAAAGGAATATCTAAAATCTTAAGGGAATTACATTCCAGCAATTTCAGTCTAAATCCACGTGCAATAAATTCTATACATCGTAACCGCAATTCATACGATGGAAGGGTTAGGAATACTGTGTACATACGTGGCATCCAGGTTGTGTGTACAGTTTAGTAAACCCAACGCACTACGCAAGTCCAGTGGGCGTAAGTAGAGTATTTCATGATAGTCTTTAGAACGGGACCAGGACAGACCTTTCCGGTATGACAAACCTGGAATGACATTTGAACACACATCCTTTTATGCCCTCATTCTTTCATATGAAGAGTCACTCATACAGTTGGCATTGGGATATAAAACTTTTGGATATAGGTTTTTTTTCTCCCCTGATGCCGTCTCATTTTGAGAAGTCTTTGAACGTGTTGCAGGTTTTATAATGCAAGAACACACCGTCACCTAGCTACGGCTAAGCTACACAGCTGAAGTAAGACAGAGACAGACCAGCATGTATAAATGAGGTTGGTGGTGGTAGCCAGGAGAAAAAAAAACCCCGAGAAGTCTTGAACCTGTAAGGCAAGCTACAGCCAGCCTTACAGCTCCATCCCTATAAACCCCAGTCTTAAGGCTGTTATTTTAGCTATTTTTAAAACCGGATTAAAACTTGCTCGTTTCTCTCAAAACAATTAAAACACTTCTTTCAGAGTATCTTGAAGCACAGACTAGAAGAAATACTCATTAGCCGTCTAGGTTACAATGCCATTTTTCCAAACAAAATGGAGAGCAAGTCTTAACACCAACACTTTTCACTTCTCCAAATCTTTAAGAAAGCTGAGTTCAGGATCATCACCTTATTTTTAAGACATGGCTGATGCATGAGGAAGGTAAAGGTGCCACCTGAAATCAAAGACAGAGCCCAGTATTCAAATCCCACGTGTTAATTAAGTCATCCCACTATGTCAACCCTCCAGCACAAACTTTTTAGTAGGGACAAACTTTTTAGTAGTGCCTGTAGTGATAGGAGAAGGGGTAATGGTTTTGAAGTGAAAGAGGGTAGATTCACACTAGATAGAAGGAAGAAATTTTTTATGATCAGGGTGGTGAGGCACTGGAACAGGTTGCCCAGAGAAGCTGTGGATGCCCCATCCCTGGAAGTGTTCCAGGCCAGGCTGGATGAGGCTTTGAGCAACCTGGTCTAGTGGAAGGGGTCCCTGCCCATGGCAGGGGGGTTGGAACTGGATGGTCTTTAAGGTCCCTTCCAACCCAAACCATTCTGTGATTCTCAACTTCACTGGGCAGCAACGGCAGATATTCCTCTGACAACAGTGGGTAAAAAAATGCCAAATACAGGAAAAGTGTATGTGCGGCAAACCTCCCACTTACTCGCTTCAAAAAGAAAAGAAAAAAAATTGGCAAAGTTAACTTAATTTCTACTTCTGGCTACGACTTAGCAGAATGCTGTCAGACAGCTGTTTATTTAACAAGACTGTTTACTTCTGCTTGTTTCTAAACAGCTCAGTGACTAAAAACAGTTGATGAATAATCTAATGTAACACCAAGAGAAAAGGCAACAATTAATAGTTTGGGTAAGTCCTTTGCATTAAGACTAGCAAGGGGAGCAGTGGGGACTGGGCTGCCAAACAAGGTGCCTCCAAGGATTCCCATCCCTAGACCATTCAGTCCCCATGGCTCAACCACACCTCTGACAGTCTGTCAATCGAGAGACGGGCTCTCATTCCAAACAAGCTAACCTAATTTCAGTTCTGAATCAGAGAATGGATACAAGATACTGAGTTTCCCTCTTATTTCTGAAGGCTGGGCAGTGACTTCTGACTGGAGGTACAGTAGATTTCTGCTTCAGAAAAGCTACAGTTGTACATCTAACGGGATGGAAGGAGAAGAGAAGGTGTTTGAAAGGGCTAACACACCAGGCCTCACAGTCAAGGGTTGAGGAAAAAGAAACTGAAATGCTTCTAGTATTAGTGGCTCTATAACTTCAAGAACATAGTATTATGGTGGGTTGAGATGTATTGGAAGAAGTAGTAAAACCCTTAAGACCTTGGTACTTGTAAGCCAAGCACAGTTTTATTCAAAACTCACCCGTTTTAGCAAGGCTTTTAAAGAGATCTGACAAAGCCCGTTGCTTCTGCATCTGAATATGCTTTGCCTCCGACTTCTGCTTCTCCTTATCTGCTGTCTGATCGAATGTTAAACTCTGCAGTTCAGCTACAGAAACAATAACACCACCTGTACAGAAGACAGCAGGGAAAGATAAGAGATGTGAAAATTTAACACACAAAGCAGCCATGGGAAGATGGTCTGGGAAGGAACTATATATCTAACAATTTTTCCTGATTTGTGCCATTCATGTTACAGAGGTCAAGTACGGTATGGAAATCACAACAATACTTCACCTGTGAACTGCTCAAGATCTTCCACCAGACTTAAGAATGAATTATTTGCTGTAACTGTGGTACACATTTTCTTCATTTTTTTAGTAAGCTTAGGCAGACGATACTGAAGAGATTCCGTATGAAATGTAATGCCATCCTGACATTCTTCTGGTAGTCCCCTCTGAGGAAAAAAGGGAATGAAACAGTCCAACTGAAACATATACTCAAAGCTGTCTTATTTGACCATTAAGAGTAAATTGCTGCAAAACCAAGTGTTAAATTCTGCATTTATCCGAAACCCCCAAACACGCCCATGTTTTCAACACCTGAGGAAGATCACAATATATGCGTGTCAGGCATGCATCGTTATTTTTGAAAACATCCAAACAAACAGAAGATGCTACGATCATACTCTTAGGTGTTTGTCATGACCTGTTTCAGAGGTTCTCAGCTTCCTCAGCCTACCAAGCTTGAAGGCACAGTAAACTAAATCACTAATGCCCTCGGGGAGCTAGATAAGAACACCATCACTTACTTTCCACCAGACACAAATCCAGCAACAAATTGCTGAAGGCAATGTTCAAGCAACTTGGAGATGAAATGTGTAAGTGCTATCTTCTCCATATTAGAGCACAGATATTGTGCCAAATCAATACAGAACAGGCTTGTCTTTCCATGCAGCACTCCCACCCACCTGCAGCGTTTCGTAACACTGAACACAAGTAAGACCAGAAGGTTGATATATTCATCACATTTGACACTTCCATAAGATTTTTCTGCATAAATCAGTGAAATGCAACATATAGACAAGACAGAGAAAATATCCTTTATGTGCAGAGAATAAAAGAAGAGTCACCTTGGCAACATCCGTTCCAGAAGACAGAATTTTTCTTAATGCGTTGTTCAGCATCTGAACTTTGGTTTCTTTGTTCTCAGATTCTTCCTGCTTTTGCAAGCAATCCAGCTGCTCTTCCTTTCCAATTTCCACCAAGGCAGGCCGACATGGCTCATCCAGGACAACTTCAAACTTCTTCATGAATTTAAACAGGGTCCTAATTACCAGAGGAATGCAAAAACGTTTCTGGGTTTTATAATCCTCGAAATTCCTCAGATGCTAGAAATAAATGCTTCCACTGTGTTACGAGTCATAAGATACATTCTTGTATTCAGATTTAACATTTTAGACAAAACATCCAGAAGGAAGGTTCCAAATATGAAACTTAATTCCAAGCTCTGAGTTACCTGCGTATTTTTTCAACTGATTGTTTTATAGCCCAGAAGCTGACATCGTTCCACTTTGAAATTTTCACAAATTCCTATTAGGAAAAGATAATAATCAGTGGGATTGCTTATATAGATACAATGAATTATTTGCATATAAAATAGTCATAGAATCACAGAATGGTTTGGGTTGGAAGGGACCTTAAAGACCATCTAGTTCCAACCCCCCTGCCGTGGGCAGGGACACCTTCCACTAGACCAGGTTGCTCAAAGCCTCATCCAGCCTGGCCTTGAACACTTCCAGGGATGGGGCATCCACAGCTTCTCTGGGCAACCTGTTCCAGTGCCTCACCACCCTCTCCAGGAAGAACTTCTTCCTGATATCTAATCTAAACCTCCCCGCTTTCAATTTAAACCCGTTACCCCTTGTCCTGTCACTACAGGCCCTTGTAAAAAGTCCCTCCAGCTTTCTTGCAGACCCTAAAAACAGAGCTAACAGACCCCCACTACCACAAATTACGCAGTCAAGTTTCCTGCATTTGGGGAAATTGCAGGGGTCAGCAAATCCAGAGTGCAAGTAATGAGCCTCGTCCTGGGAAAACCACCATCCTGATCATGGTGTCTCCCCTGCCAGGTAAGTATGATCTTTAAAGCTGATCTGGTGGTCTCATATGCAAGAAATTTTAGTAAATAAGCAAATTACTGCATAGGCATGTTATTCTATTAACATGTGTTGTTCATGGTAAAACTGCTGCATAGCCAGATGTTACGAAATCCAAAGGGGCTTCACTACTGGGTAGAAACCTCCATGGCTAAATGGGACTGACCAAACATTAAAGACTTCAACCGACCCCCCACCTCAAAAATAAACTCATGTCAATGAAAGTGTGAAGCACAGTAGGGATTTCGGTGGCCAACAGAGCGAACTCAACATACGAACTCAAACAATATCTGCTCCACTCTTCATTTGATTAGCTCAGTGTATTGTCCGAGCGAAGCTTCCTTTTACCTTAAGTTCCTTTTCTATAGGTTGACGAAGTTCAGTGATTCTGGCCTCAACACACTCTGAGAACTGCTTATAATAATTGTACAGATTCCACAGGACGCTGCACAGAGTGTCTAGAAGGGACAGATAATAACAAGCTTCTTTTAAAACAGCATATTCTTCAGTATCAAGAAATGCATCCTAGGGTTTTTTTTTTTAATCGTGAAGCTTAGTGACACCAGAAGACGAGGTAAACTGACCAACACAATTCTTTATGAGAGCAGGAAAAACAGCAATGTAGGGTTGTGTGTCATCTATGAGCTTAGTGGTCTGTTGGCAAAGTCCTGAACACCTGATGGGCAGGTTGCTGTGAAGACTCAACACAAGAAATGCCAACAGCTTACCCTTTTCTGCTACTTGAGGCATCAGCAACACATGGCAGTGGAAAACCAGTAGTGCTTCAAGTCGTGCGTGAAACTCTCCCAGCGTGGATCCTTCAATGAATGCTTGTAGTGTGCTGACCAGTGTTTTCAGATCCATTTGCTCAGTTTCTGAACAATGCACCAGAAATTTAGAAGGAAAGTGGGAGAAAAACGAACAAAAAACCCCCTCTAACATGAAAATTGTTGTCCATTCTTCGTAAACTTCCAACTACATATCAGGTCTCTATGAGGAAAGGTTCAAACCAGAATAGGAAACAGGTGGTGTGTTGGGGGGGTAGAATTCTAATTTAATAAGTAAAACCAACACCAAACTGAAGAAAAGAGATGAAAGGCAGCAGTAGACAGTGACCGAGGAGGCCAGCTACACGTCCAGTTTCAGAGTGCATCAAATATTTAAGGAATACTTGCTATTCTTTGCGAACTAATGGCGCCTTTTTTTTTTTGTCATGATGAGCCATACCACAAACCAGCCAATGATTTTGAGGAGTTAAGGAACTGGTAGTAAGACAGAAATAATACTTAGAAGAATCTGGTAGAGAACACAGTGCCCTTAGAGCACTACATCCATGGAAAAAGACATGCTGTCCACTTGGGGATGGAAAATAAGCCAAGGATCTGAAACTTGTGAAGTAAGTGCATTAGCCAATCATGCGACTGGAAGAACCCTGCCTCATGCCAGAGGATGCTACTTTAATCTTTACAATTTCATTAGATTTTTGGGAGGCAAGGGACTGAGAGCTGTATTTTATTTTACGTAATGTAAACACCTTCAGACAGACTTGCTAAGATCTGTATACACCAAAACGTACTTACTATAGGAATTCTTTAGGCTTTATACAGAACGTTAAAAGCAGGTCAGCTGGGATATGAATTATCCTATGTGCCGTTATAAAAATGAGGTGCCTTTTCCACCTGCAGATGGAGGCCTCCTACCCTCCAAATCTGTTGGAGATGTCTGTATGTGCATGATATACAGTTACCACAGCTCCACTTTCTTTTAGATGCTTTTTACAGACATCTTTTTAATTTACACCACCTGCAGTGATGGCCTGAGAGACACAGCTGGCTCCAGAATTAAATAGCAAGTGAAGTTCACTCTAAAGAGAAGACCCTATAAAGTCACAGAATTGATTGTATGGCAAAGGGGACGAGAACTACACGTGAAAGTGCACTGTCAAACTCTGGCATTTAGGACCTCAATTATGCATCCTTAGTAACTGCTGAAACTGCATCACACGTTCATCTAAGGCCAGCACTTACCTTCTGTGTTTGCTTCCGTCTGTTCCTGAACATACTTCTCAATCATCTGATAGATGGAGAACCAGTGCTTTGTGGATTTCTCTACGTGCTGCTTCATAATATTGTCCAAACTTACTGACCAACATCTGGAAACAGTAAGGAAGGGGAGGAGAAATAAAAATTAAAGCAAAAGTACTCTTGTTCTGGTGCTCAAACTACCCACACAAGCTTTACTCTCTGTTTCTACTAAAGGAAAATTTCATGGGATGGAATAATCTGCACAGATGCTTAATATACACCACCAACTCTTGAGGATCATTGCTTTGCCACTATTATTAAATATGAGAGAAGAAATGGAGGAACTAGAGAGGGTAAAACAAAACCAGTTCCAGCCAGGTTGAAAAATTTCTATTCACAAAGTTTGAGGTAAGACTTGTGGAATTCCTGATTGTGACATACTATGGTTATAAAAACCATATATGGTCTTAGCAGGAGACCAGGCAATAATTTTTAAGGAAAATTTAATGGGGGTTGTTAGACAAAACACTGCAGGCTTAGTAAACCCTAGGATGAAAAGAGGAGAACACTGGGAAAATATCAGGATGAAGTACTGCAATTATTGCTGAAGCATATACATCGGGTCACCACAGGCTGGACATGCTCATTCTGAGCCAGTACAGCTGCTAGATGGGGGTTTTTCCCCCCCACATTCTTACTAGGACAGCCATACACACTCACAGAAGCATGTTTCATCATGAAGGCAATTCTGCATTGGAATGCGTCTCCGTATAAAAACGGAAGCTTACAGTATCTAAGAAAGGCAGGTGGGAAGAACAGATCTTACTTCAACTCCAATCTACGCCACTGAATAATCAGTTGTGTAACCAAATCAAGATGTTTCCGCAAGGACAAAGCTCGACTAGCATTTTCCTCCCAGTCCTGGAAAAAAACAAAACAAGTTCCTTTTTATACAAAGCCAGAAATTAGTCTTTGCATGGCACAACTCATGCAGCACTCTGGATTACATTCCTACTCCTTAAACTTATGGCATGGAGCAAGCCCATTTCCCAGATCCTGGACAGCAGGCAGCTTTCAGTTGTCACGGTACCAATATAAATAAGGAAACATAGAAGAGAAAACAAAAGCTTCCCTTAGCTCTTTTCTTACCTGTGCCTTTGCAAGAAGAATTTCCAAGCCGTTCAGGAACTTTGAGAGAGGACTGGAGAGTGGAAAACTCCGGATTCTGTCCATCACAACTATCAGCTGCAGAATAAAAACCAAGAGTTCAATCAGTATTAAGTGATTTTCCACAGAAGCAGTCACCAAGTTAATTTGTATTAGCATAACCCTCCTCCACAAGAATAATCTTTATTTATTTTAAACTGCTTCCTAATTTTAGTACAAACTCAAGTGAAGGCCAGCGCAGTCAGGGAAAGGAGCACAAATGACCTAATGCAAAGAGTTCCAGTTGATTCTGAGTTGGTGCCTCCCTCTAAGAAATATAAACCTGAGGACCATACAGGCCTGTAAGTGGGCCCAAAGATACCCATTTTAAAACACTAGGAAAGAAAGCATTTTTGAAAAAAAAAACAGGAGCCCAAACAGCAAAAGAATCTGTGAGGTGTGGCAGACTGAAGATTGCCTAAAGCTGTACAATCAGAGTAGGCAGTGAGTATCACTTAACATTTCCTAACTAAAATAGAACAGCTAATAGTACCCAATGCCTCTTAGGAAGAAACCGGTGTGACTTCAACACGTCTGTGTAAGTAATACAGACAGCGTCCATGCATATCTATGCACATATTTACACACAAATTCAATACTAAAACGCTTCAGTTTTTCCCAAATGTTTATTGAGGTGGCTTTACCTGCACAAGTACTGGATGCTCCGGCCATTCCTGCAGTAGCCCATTCACTTCTTTAGCAAAATTATCAAGTACAGGTTGGCACTGTCGGACTTGCTGAATATTAGGATGCTGGTAGAAGTCATATGGGCCATCCTGCTGCAGCACAAGATCTGAAGTTAATTCCTCAAAAAAGGTATTGTGAAGAAGAGTGCTAACTAGAAGTTGGCTTCCCAAGAGACTATCGTTCATTTCAGCACCTAGGAAGCAAAAAAGAAGGAAGACATCACACATGCTATTCATTACTTTTTCAGTTGAGTAGATAAAGTGTGTGGTTTTGGGTTTGGTTTTTTTTTTTTTTTACCCTGAATCTCAAGCCTTAGCATGTTACGTATTACAAGGATCTAAGAACATTCCACACATAAGCAATAAGACAGGAGTATGGAATAGAAAAAGACATACTTAAAGTTTGCATTCTCTGTTTAATCAAATTTTTGTATAAAATCAGCATCCTAAAGGTGGGCTGTGATCCCGTCAGAAGACCACAGTTTCTCTGTGCATAAACTCCCATCAAGGAGATATTTACTACAAGGTTAGTTGCAAGGCTTTGTGAAAAAAGTAATCCAACACGCAAAATAATCACACATATTACTTTAGTGTTCATAACTGAGGTGTAAGTTACACTATAAACAGCAGCCCTTATCTGCCTCTTCCTCCCTGCACACATACACATTTATGAGATTAGATTATTTGCAGTGTAGCTCTGCTTTGAAAGGCAATGATCCTGAGGTCCCACACATCATTATAACGGCTTACACATCAAGTGTGCCAAAATTCAGGGTTAATAAAAAAAACCTCAACACCTCTGTATTTTTTTTTTAAATTGTAAAAGCTCCATTTAAACCAATTCTTATGAACTTAACTGCAAATTTCAGTTTCTCAACTTCTGCAAGTGCACCATCTTCTATGGGATTATGCAGATCCAAGTGATCAAAATTTCACTTAGAGTATTTAATTTATTCTTAGATGGTGTTGGTCTTATATATTAACAAATGGAAATAAACACGACCCATAAAAATAAAAGTCAAAGCATTCCAGCCATACAATTCTGAACATGGGGCAAGAAAATTTGGTTTTGTGCATCTTTCCCATAACAGGTCTGTCTCCTGCCCTGCAACACGATCCATTTGAAAGAAGTTATTACAAAGCTAAACCTGCACATCTGAAATATTGCTGCCAGTCTTACCAATTAAAGGATAGAACTGCGACACCATGCATGCCCCAGTCTGGTAGCAGGAAATAAAGGTACTGAAATAATGTTTGGCTTGATGAGAAGGCAGGGTCTGTTGATACCACAGGGATCGCGCAAAGTTTAAGCATAACTGCCGATGAACCGTCATGACTGTTTGCATAGAGCTCCTGGACAAAAGGGCTCTGTCAACTTCCAGCTGCTCTTCCAATGGATCTTCCGTTTCCATTTTTTCTTCTAGGCTTGGCTGAGCTGTGATATCTTCAAAGTCCTGCAAATTACATGATAATCAAAATCAATGATAACTTCTTCCTTTAAGGCCTCCCCTCCTCATCTCCCTTTTCACACTTTTTTGGCATTGCAACAATACGGCCGTGATGTGGAACTGGCACTGTAGAGATACACGGTGCCCCACCACTCAGATGTCAGCCTGCAACGGAACACAGGCGAACAGAGCAACCCAAGAGTACAACCACAGCAGTGCAGCGATCCCTGACAGCTGGCAACTGAAGCTCTTCCAGAAAAAGCAGCAGCCGTCCCATCTGCTGATAAACCACCTCGATGCTGTTTGCTCGCTTGAAGACCCCAACTGCTACACCCCAACAACACCACGACACACACAACCGTTCTGTGGATTTCCATACTGCAAAACGTTCCTCAGCAAGACCCCAACTGCTACACCCCAACACCACGACACACACAACCGTCCTGTGGATTTCCGTACTGCGTAACGTTCCTCAGTGAAGACACACTTCAAAAGCCATTCAGTGACGCGGGCCAGTTAAATCTGAACAAATCTCACAGCTTGCTTTAACCAAGATCAGCCTTCTTCACAGGTAATGAAACCTCACAGACCGCCTTACCTACATGAATCAAATTCCAGAATTTTACAACAAATAACTGATGGCAGTGTCATTTGGTGATGTAACTTGGGATTATCCACCCAAACCGCAGTACAGTTCGAGTCTGGAAACTAATTCCAAAATCTTTCTAGAACCAGAAGGTAAAATAAACTAAAAAGCACAGTGCTTAATACCTTTCTATCAAGACCTACCCCACATTTTTCTTCTGGGTGAAGGAAAAGCTTTTATTCCTCATCGCATTTTACGTAAAGCATGTATTTTCAGGAGCTACCTTCAGACATAATTTTTGTGTTTCTTAACTGAGTTACAGTTGTTACCTTCTCGTGGAAAGGAAATCTCCTCCTAAATTCTTCTTCTTCCTCCTCTTCTTCACTCCGCCCTTTCCCATGACTTTTACTTCTGTATCTGTACAGACTGCGTTCCATTGCCTCCTTCTCTTGGGCACGGCGTTCCTGTTCATCCCACTCATTTACAATTGCCTACAGAAACACAGAGCAGCATAACTTTACACAAGTTAATGTTTACAATCACCTCGTATTTCATCTGCTGTGGCCAGCAGGTCGAGGGAGGTGATTCTGCCCCTGTACTCTGCTCTGGTGAGACCCCACCTGGAGTGCTGCGTCCAGCTGTGGAGCCCTCAACATCAGAAGGATATTGACCACTTGGAGCGAGTCCAGAGGAGGCCACAAAGATGCTCAGAGGGCTGGAGCACCTCTGCTATGGGGACAGGCTGCAAGAACTGGGCTTGTTCAGCCTGGAGAAGAGGAGGCTCCGAGGAGACCTCATTGCAGCTTTCCAGTATCTGAAGGGGCACTACAAGGGTGCTGGGAGAGGACTTTTTACAAGAGCCTGTAGTGACAGGACAAGGGGTAATGGGTATAAATTGAAATCAGGGAGGTTTAGATTAGATATCAGGAAGAAATTCTTCACAGAGAGGGTGGTGAGGCACTGGAACAGGTTGCCCAGAGAAGCTGTGGATGCCCCCTCCCTGGAAGTGTTCAAGGCCAGGCTGGATGAGGCTTTGAGCAACCTGGGCTAGTGGAAGGTGTCCCTGCCCATGGCAGGGGGGTTGGAACTAGATGATCTTTAAGGCCCCTTCCAACCCTAACCATTCTATGATTCTATGATCTCGTTTGGTTCTTTCCTCTTCTGCAGTCTGCAACAGCACAAATCAAAGCATCTGACTTGAAGGAAGATTTCTCAATTGTCCTCTCAACAAGCCAGTGAGTAAAAAGCAGAGGAAACAGCAGGCACAAGTGTTTGCCTGAGTTTTAAGTCTCCTTTCTTACCATGTTATAAAGAAACTCTCTACAAAGTTTGGTTTTAGGTTTTTTGTGCTTTTCTGGGTGGTGTTTTTTGGTTTTGTTTTTTAATAAGTAAAACCTTTGATGACCATTACAGGCTATAAATTTATGCCTTGATAAATCCAAACAAGTTAATACAGTCTTTTAGATTATGTTAAAATTATCTTTTATAGATTAATTGGGTAAAAAGAAAACCCAAACCAACACAACAGGAAAAAAAAAAGAAAATTTTAGGATTATTATACTGACAGTTATCCAAGTAGAACCACAGAATGGTTTGGGTTGGAAGGGACCTTAAAGACCATCCAGTTCCAATCCCCCTGCCATGGGCAGGGACACCTTCCACTAGACCAGGTTGCTCAAAGCCTCATCCAGCCTGGCCTTGAACACTTCCAGGGATGGGGCATCCACAGCTTCTCTGGGCAACCTGTTCCAGTGCCTCACCGCCCTCTCTGGGAAGAATTTTTTCCTGATATCCAATTTAAATCTACCCTCTTTCAGTTTAAACCCATTGTGTCTTGTCCTATTACCACATGCCTTGGTAAAAAGTCTCTTTCCGTATTTCCTACAAGCCCCCTTTATATACAGAAAAGCCATAATAAATTCTCCCTGTTGTCTGTCTTGTACAGGGAACAAGGTAGTTCAGTGGAAGAATCCTGGCCACTGCCATTCTGACATTACCTGACACAGATGTCTAAAAAGCTGCAGAGATTTCTGGTCCATCTCTCCTCTGGATAGCACATGGCATCGAAGATGCAACAAAGCATTCACTAGGAGCTGTTCCAGAGTGGGGCAAGGCTGCTCCACTCCCTCAGATTCTCCTTCCGAGCGCTTCAGAGAAAACTTCTTCAGTCCATGAAGGACCTCAACCGAATTCACCGAGCACAGATTTTCTGCACGAGTTAAGTAAGTGGGGAAAGCCCGGCCAACAGAAGGAAACGTCAACAAGGAGGTGAGGAGGCTGGCGAGATCCTCTGGGCGCACAAAGCTTTTGAGCGCCGCATAAACTTCCGAAGCCACTAATCGCATGCCGTGCTGCAACTGTAAGATGGCAGCTTGCAGTGGAACGATGGCGTCAGGGAACGCAGCGTACTCCTCTGCCAGGTGCTTCCTAAACTGATGGTGTGATTGCTGCCAGGATGCTTCTTCACGTAACAGGTTTTGTACTGCCTGGAGTGACCGAGGTCTGTCCCCACGGAGGAACTGTAGAAGGCGGGCTAAAAGATCTTGGACTGAAGAAACCCGTGCTATGCTGTTGATGTACTGGTGGGCCTCCTGGTATAAACAATCGTATGCTGGAGCTGGAGGCCTGAAGGCCTTTTTTCTAGAAACGCTGCTTATTTGCTCCTTCAGCCTTTGCATTCTTTCATGCAACAGTCTGTTAAAAAACAACATTGACCAGTTGAGACATATATAAATGTTTATATGCTTATACATATCTCCAACATAGCAGTTATATATATAGATTCATCAGCAATATGCTGCTAGTTTGTGTGAAGCAGCATACAAAGGAAAAACCAAGAAGCAACAACATATAGCCTACATCAGCAGTTCTCTTCTTTCCCCACCCCCCTGACTTCAAACAACTTTAATTAATTTTCTTGCTTGCTACCTGACAGCTCTGAAAGCATTAAGGAAAAAGTAGTAGTGCTGGAGGCAACTGGTAGAGAAGCCATCAGAACTTCCTTTCAATGACTATAGGGCACTTTAAGCAATAGCATAGAACTACCAGATTCTCTACATGTATAATGATGAAATGGAAAACTTCCATTAATAGTGGAGAATCATGAGTACAACCCAGTTTTTATCTCCATGTACAGCGAACGCTTGGAAATGTACAGAAAGGAGAAATCTCTGTTCACTTAAAATTTCTTCAAGTTCCTCAGATTAAAAAAAGAAAACAAACATACCAAACCCCCAAAACAACGGCTACAAATTCTGAATGTCAACTCTATGTGGTAAGCACAGCACCATAGGCAAAGGCTGTTGCTAAAGTACACATCTGGAGATTTCTACCCAGTACTACCAGTCCCAGAATTCTGCAAAGTGGCACTGGCACCTACCGAGGCCTTGAAGAGTTACAGCATCAGGTACACATTCCCTTCCATTTCTATCTATGGATACCATTGTCACATTTTAATGAAACTACCATTATTTAGACTATGGTTTTACTTTCACTTCTGGGCATAGCTTCATTTTTATCAAGATATGAAGGCCACTGCCTTAAGCGTTGTATTTACAGCAGTACAAAGTGTGTACAGACAATTCCTTAGTCCCTGCGAGTGAACAGAACAGCTTCTGTATTTTTCCTTGGCACCCCCACATGCAAATTGATATACTTTAAAATCAGCAACCCTTATTTCTACAGAAGACAATAAAAGCAAAGCTGTGAAGAAGAGCTTTGGAGTCTGAGCATCCAAAGTTGAAGTTTCCAATCTAAAAGAGAAGAGTTAAGTGACTAAGACGTTACCTGAGATGGGGATGAACATAGTTGCTGAACGCTTCATCTTCAATACTTTTTCCTGTATGCAACTGGGATGAGAAATTGTTTGTCTTCCATTCACACTCCAGCTGGTGCAACTAAAAAGAAAAGAATAAACCCTCCTCTGAGGTTCTGGTTTTGGTAACCTAGTATGTACATTATATTCTTGGGCATTAAAAGAAGTTCTAACTTCTCATGATTTTTAAACCAGATAAAGACTTGCCCAAGAACACCCAAGCCAAATTTCTTTGTGTTGATTTTATACAATAAATATGTAAAAGCAAACTCAGCTCCACACTCACCTCTTCTTCTGCATACTTGAGCTTGTATTCTCTCTTAACAGCTGGATCAAATCTGGTCTGTGGAAGCCACACCTGGATCTGCACCAAACCAATATTCACCCAGAGGCTTCCTCGCCAAGCTGTCTCTGGTAACTCCTTAAGACCTTCCCCAAAGAACTGCTGCAGGCAAGTGAGCAGGAGAAACAGGAATTCTTTAGGAAGTAACTCCTGATCAGTGATGCTTTTAAGAATCTTGAGAAGGAACTCAAATGCAACAGGATCCTTGAGGTAGAGCTTCTCACAGCACTCTGAATATTCTTCTTGAAGATCCACTGGAACCAGATCTACCAGCGCAGACAGTTGTCTGCTCAGCATTATTGCTTGCAGTCTAGCGTCTGTGTGTCTAGAGGCAAAGGAGTAAGAAAAGTTTACACATGGTAAGCAAGCTTCTGTAACATACCTGATATTTCAGTAACATCTACGTGGAAGAGAGGTCTCGATACCTAAAATCTGCTATTGAAGGGACTGCCAGGTTGGTCCACAGTGCTGTGCTGACTTCATGAAGCTGCTGTGCTCTCTCCAGCCATTCTCCCAGTGTCACATGGGATGATGACAGAACAGGAAGCCCACTCACATCCCACTGGCTTGTCTTGCTGCTGCTAGTTAGAATTTCAAAGAAGCACTTTGAGAAAACTGCTCGGGTCAAAATACCTGGGCCCTAAATTAAGAGATTAAGAGTTAGATTGTTCAGATGCAACTTGCACTGACTATGCTAGAACTTACAGTATTGCTTTAGAAAGCTGTTGAATTATTTAATAGGAGTATTCATCCTAGTTGTTTGATTAGTTCAGAAGATACAAACCTTCACAGAACAGTTCATATGGGATTTAGGAAAGTTCTTTTCCTCTGTTGCAGGTAGCGGCCGCCAAGTCAACCAGTAGTCTGGGTCTGTGGTGAAAGTACTGCTCCAAAAAGATGCTAGTGCAGCATTAACTAGCTGAGACCACAGAACAGACATTTCTTCAGGGGATATCTAAGAAGAGAGAAAAACTTTGAGCTGAGAAAAACTTAGAGGGAGCAAAAGAGAATCAAGCACACACACAAATAAGAGCATGATACTGATTTTCAGAAAGGATAAGGTATTCCCCAAGATCCTTTGCAAATTCACATACTGTTTGCTTGCATCTCTTCTCAGCAAAAAGAGTATACTTCCTGTGGCCTGCACCACCTCCTGACTTTGAAATATGCAGCGTGTTTACAGAGCAAATTTTCAGAACACAGCCTCCAGTCTACCACTGTGCAAAATTTCATTACAGTACGCAAGGTTGCATGAGCATTAAACAGATAAACCTACCCAGTATTCTGCTCTGAAGCATCTAAAGTGAACTTGCTGGTTTACTGAGCTTTGTGGGAAAACAACCACCACTGCGTCATACCTAAATATTAACCCACCAGAATTTCTCTGTCATATTAACTGCTCTGTAGAAAATGCATCAAATAACTGTCCCTGTCCATTTGACTTGCAACATGGACTTAAAAAAAAAAAATTAAAGACAGGCACAGGAACAGAGGCAAGTATTTTTCAGCATAAAATTACTTTGAATAAATAGATGCAACCAGGCTGACACCTGCCATTCACAGAATGGTTGGGGTTGGAAGGGACCTTAAAGACCATCCAGTTCCAACCCCCCTGCCATGGGCAGGGACACCTTCCACTAGACCAGGTTGCTCAAAGCCTCATCCAGCCTGGCCTTGAACACTTCCAGGGATGGGGCATCCACAGCTTCTCCGGGAAACCTGTTCCAGTGCCTCACCACTCTCTCCAGGAAGAACTTCTTCCTTATATCATTCAATCCATTCCTGTTTTCATAAGGCCACAGATGGATGAATGGAACAAACTAGATCATATAGAACTAGATTATTTCAGATTTTCTTGTGTTTCATGTTTTAATGTTGTGTTTTGTTTACATTTTTTTGCAGGCTCACAGTTAACCACCTTTCCTATTAAAATGAACAGTTATTGTCAGACACTGGTGGAAAAACTGCATGTCAAAAACCTTAGATATATACTGATTTTGAAGACCCTGTTGAAAACTTTTGTAAAACTGAAACTAAATAGTTCTTACTTCATTAAGGTGTAACAAGTGCCACAATCCAGACAGCTGGTGAGAAGCAGCTGGTGTCAACTTCAGGGAAAAAGCTATAAGCTGAACTAAATCCGAACGCATGCTTAGTTTTCGTCTGCTGTTCTCCCTGTAGCAGGTAAAAGAAATACAACTTAAGTAATGCTTAAGCAGGGCACGTGAAAAAGTATTTGAATAGAAAACCAAATTGTGCATGGCAGGTGAACTCACAATCACAGAACCACAGACCGGTTTGGGTTGAAAAGGACTTTAAAAGATCATATAGTTCCAACTCCCATGCTGTGAAACAATAACAAAGACTCCCTGAGAGGTTAAAATTACAGCATTTTAAACACTGGAGAAGAATGAGCACTCAAGTAATACTCAAAACACCTGCATCCTTCAAAGCTGGAAAAACCTAAATACAACAAAAGGGGAAGAAGTAGAATCTTCTGTAGCTCTAAGCTGTAAATTCAGCTAAACATACAAAACATTTGAGGGCAAGCCATCTTCCAGCTTTGTAGTTCTTGTGAAAATCTGAGCTTTGCTGAATTCAGAAAGCTACTCAGTGATTTCCAGGAGTCTCACTGCACAAAAAATCAGATTTATGGATTTCAGCGAAAGGAGAGCTCCCTTTTAAGGAATGGCAAAACAGTCAAAAAATACACACACTCGAAGCACTAACACTTCTTAACTAAATAATGTTCATCTGAACTATGAGCATACGTGCGCAGTTGACATGTGAGGCAGCATGCATGCTGGTGTACTTTCTCCACCACCGGTCTGATTCAGTCCTTCTGCAGCAGCCCCCAACAACACGGTGATAAAGACCTTCCTCTTAATTCTTGATATGAAGGGCTCATGTCATTAAAAGTCAAGTATTATATATTTCCAAAAGAAAATACTATGTACAATTTAGTACATAAAAGGTTTTAGTTTTCCACCCCCTATCAGCCATTCCACCATAAATAAAGCAATTTCTGGAGTCTAATGTGTTTACTCCAAGGGGTTTGGACTTCAGCATTCCTGTATTTGCATCAGTAAAGTTAGTAAAGAAGAAAACTACTTCCTCAGTATAACACCAAACTACTCCTTTGCTGATACTTTTTATAGCCGTCCAAGTGCAATTCTGCGGGCAGACGAGGCGTGTGTATGCATTTATACACCAATATATATGCCTATGTGTGCTACATACCGTCTGTACGTACACACACAGCTTTACACACAGACGTAAACCGCACAAGGGATTTTAGCTAGGGATTCTGAATCTCATGAATGGAATACAGGATTTCTTTCTCCAACCTTCTTCTTACCTTCTTGCACAAGCTCTGGCCACATAATCTGCGGTCAGCTTGTACTGCCAGAGCAGGCTGATGTATTCCATGGCAGGCCACAGCTGAACCCGACTGCAGAGCTGGTTTAACAGGGCAGGGTCTAACTGCCTGGCGATGGTATCCTCAGTGAACCGTTCTTCTGAGTGACTACACGTAACTCCTTCTGCTCTCAGTTGTGAATGCACCGCTTTCAAAAAAGTCTGCAGTTGACCTGTTTGACAGAGCATTAAGAGGCACATAAATGCACGTACTGTATTCCTTGCCAGGGAACATTTGAGCAACACTGAGCAACCTGGTCTAGTGGAAGGTGTCCCTGCCCATGGCAGGGGGCTTGGAACTAGATGGTCTTTAAGGTCCCTTCCAACCCAAACCATTCTGTGATTCTGTGACTTCACATCCTTTCTGTTTCTATACAGAAAGAATGGAGATTGCAGAGGCTCTTCAAAAGTGTTACCTACCCAGACTAACATCTTCTAAATGATTGGCTCTAATGATCAGGCCATCAGCTTGTAGCAATGCTTTCTTCATCTTCCATCCAGCAGCAGCAACGTTCAGACAGCACATTATTTCCTGCCATCTACTTCCTCCAAAGGCCAATCTTAGCTCCAAGATGTTAAGTGGTTTGCTGAGAACTTTTAACTGAGAAAAACATTCCATGCCCAGTTTATCCTGGAAACATGAAAAGGATATTTGAAAAAGTGGCAGTTTGTTTCAGCAGAGCTAACACCACAACAAACAAGATCTGTGACTGCAGTCAAAACCAATTTGTATTTCTAATTCACATGCACATGACTGAAGTACATGTATATATAAACCAACCTGCAACAAGAGCTGAACAACAATTCCTTAGTAGCCCTACTCAATACAGCAGGAAGACAGAAATTGAAAGTTGGCCACAATTCCTCCTTGTCTTTTTTTTGTCCCTTTATGACAAAACTACGTAGATTATGCAGACAAACAATACTTCAACATGGCAACTTGCCTAAATTAAGGGCAGTAAATACAAAAAATAAAAACATCAGAAGCTCAACTCACTTAAAAAACTGCAGGTTACACCTGCAATTTAAATACATTTGGATGACTAGAAAAATCTTCCCCAATTCTTAGTGAGCACTCAAATTTCTCCCAAGTCCCACAAAATAACTACGAGCATTTTTGAATAACTGAGTATCTTTGAGATAAGGTCATAAAAGATCTAGGTCTAATTACTAACCACCAATATGAGCAACCTACGTGACTACTTGTGCCCTGCTTTTAAAAAGGGATTTATATTCTTTCGAAAGTTTTACTGCAAGATTATTCATTTTTTATTGAATGACAATTGCTGAGGTAACTTAAGAAAAAAACCCCAAAACTGTCAAAGTTAGGAGGCTTTGTCTTGTAAGTCATCAGGCAGCCCCATCCTACGCTGTATAAAAGGAAGCACACAGTCTATTCTGTATACACACATGTTCACTAAATAAGCAAGTGGCATACTGATAATCACAAGTCTCCAGAATGGAGCAAGGAGTAATATTTTTATGCTTGGCCTGGGCACTACTCTGCATGAATAACCGCTATCTATACAAAGCATATTTAATAATAGGAGTGCTATAAGTGATAGAGCTCACAAAAAGAGTTGTACATCAACATATGCTGAAATTATGTTTTTAATCAATCTAACAAGTCCAAAGGAATGTATTTTTGCTGGCCTGGAAAGCAAGTGCTGCAAATCTTTATGATTATTTTACAGCGTATTTGGACATCACTGGAAATACAAGAGAGTACAGATACCTTAAAAGGAAGAGGTCTTCCTAGAGACTTCTGTAATATCTTCATACTGGCAGAAACACCAGCAGGATTGGCCAAGCAGCTCTGAATCTGCTGTGAAACAGACTGAATTTCCTTGGAAAGCCTTGTAGACACATATAAAAAAAAAGAAGAAAAAAGCCCACAGAGTTAGCTGAGAAGTTTGAGAAAAGGATGCTTGAGAAACTAATTTCCTTTCTTTTGTCCTTCCACTAAAGGGGTAAAAATTCTAGACAATCACTTGGGCAAGTAGAAGCCCAATGCTAAAAACCCTGAAATTTAAAAGCGAACAGCTATTTAATACATTGGACTTGCACCACTAATTCAACACAACTTGGACACTAATAGCAAACAATGCTAATTAGCTATAGTACCAAACAAAAGCGTAACTTATACAGCCATTTAGCTGGAACACAAATCAAGGGCACTCACTTGTGCTGGTCTGATCCAATAAGCATCTGAGGAATTCTGTCAATGAGATGCTTCATAACCCAGTGCCAGTGCAGAGACAGAAGCGACAGCCCTTGCGAATCCACTGTCAGTGTGTCAGAGACTGCCCAAAACCGGTCACGCCACAGCAAGCAGTATAAAATCTAACAAGCCAAAAAGGTTACACTTTTCCCACCGTCGCGTGTTACAGAATACGTTCTACTTCAAGTAAGACAAAACCCAAACCCACCATCACTTCCATTAACCTTGGGCTCACGCGGCGCTTTGCATTTAGCAGGATACAACCAGTACTCTACTCTATGTTCTCTAAAAATACCCCATGGCTCTGCCAGCAGGTGCAACTATCCAAGTCAAACCCAAGCAACCCCTGCACCAAGTCTACAATGTCATTTGTCAGAGCTCAGCAAAGTGATTTTCAAAGTGGTCTGAAAAGGGAGAGGGAGAAGTGAATCACCCTTGGGACATGCCAGTCAGCTGTCCAGGCTTGGGTATCTTTACAGAGGATAGAGGCAGATACCCCTTTCATCATCAGTGGAGAGAAACAGGCACTTCTACGGCACACTTCCTACCACCCTACGCAGACAGAGAAGGCTTGATGACCAAGCTCAGCAATGTGTATCTACATCCCAGGTGTGCACATTTATGTAAGGCAATTCCCACCCCACGCATTTGCAGGCTGAAAACCCCCCATTTCACACAGAAGAAATAAGACAGAGCACAAATACAGCTGCTGAAACAAACACGATCGTTTGTCCAGTGTCAATACCAACAGAAGCACTGTGGTTTATTTCATGGGTCCCGAAACTAAAAATAGCATTCTGCACACAATCTCATTTCACTTAACTTCCATACATAGACTATGAAAAGCCTACTCACATCGTGCATGTCATCATCACTTAAGGCCACCTGAGTAGACTTCACCCAGTGAAATGCAAATGCATCCCAGAGCTCAAAGAAAGCAGCAAGGTTGACCACGACTGCATGAGGAAGACAATTGTAACTTCCTGGATCTGAGGTTTGGGGAAGAGGGAGAGAAAAGGAGATATTGAATATTCCAGCTACATCACATGACACGTAAGGGTCTATTTCTGATCACTAGATTCTCTCTATGCTTAGGAAAAAGAAAAAAAACAACTGGAAAATATCAAAGAACTGAAGTAATGAAAGTAGTCCTTCCCTATCTGCACAAGTGTGTTACCTTTAAGCATTTCATATTAAAAAAATCCCTAATGAGGGAAGCATCGATCAATTGCTTCCGAGAAATTACATCCACTCGTTACCCAGTAGGGGCTGGACATAACAGCTGCAGCAAACGGCATATAATACACGTGGATATATGTAGTGACAGGACAAGGGGTAATGGGTTTAAATTGAAAGTGGGGAGGTTTAGATTAGATATCAGGAAGAAGTTCTTCCTGGAGAGGGTGTTGAGGCACTGGAACAGGTTGCCCAGAGAAGCTGTGGATGCCCCATCCCTGGAAGTGTTCAAGGCCAGGCTGGATGAGGCTTTGAGCAACCTGGTCTAGTGGAAGGTGTCCCTGCCCATGGCAGGGAGGGGGATAGAACCTGATAATCTTCCACCCCCAACCATTCTGTGATTCTATGGTTCTATATCTAGTTTAAGAATGATGTGTTACATATCATACTAGTCCTCATCTGACTGCTTTACACTCACACAGTCTTCTTTTTGCACATTCAGGACACACCATGTTTAAAATACACATTTCATAGCAGTGCAAATTAACCGTATTTCAAATTGACCACAGAACCGAAAGGAACAGTGAAAGTCAACCCACCTTTGCGGAAATCTAGAGACATTCTCAAGACACTATTTCTTGGCTTCTTGCTAGTAATCAAATTCTTCTCAGTGTAGCTTCTTTTTTCTCGGTCGAGAAATAATACTGCCCTGAATTAAAGTTGTTAGAAATTCAGTATCATTTTAAAGCCTCTGCATTATGAGAACAGCGAACTACAGAGTGACATTTGATATTTCACTGTATTATTAAACAAGAATCAAGGGCAGCATAACTTACTGCTTGAATAGGGCTTCTGCAAAAGCAAGCTTCACAAAGAGCAGATTATTGACCGCAGCACTCACCAGGAAGAAAAGAGCAGTGAGCTACGCAACACCATCACCTGTAGGATATGTGAGCAGCTACTGCCTTATACTTTAACTGCAAAATCTGCGTACTGTTTGCTCTTATTAGGAAAAGCAGTCCAAATCCAAAAGCAGGGCAACTATTTAAGTTTTATGTCAGAGATTTCACACTGCTGCTTCTGCTTCTCTGATGTTTTGAAGTACTCCAGCTGATACGGAATGCTAGGAGCCCTGCTTCCTGTATTAAGTGATTTGGTTTAGTTTGCGTCTACAGAAAACACTAGCAAAGAAATGAAATACCTGTCCAAAACCCCTGTCTAGTATTATGGATCACATCTATCAAAACCTAAAAACATACTCGGCAGATACCACCAGTGTTTATACAGCACTGATTACAGTCATTGGGCAGCCTTCGCAAGTATTTTTGTAACCTACCGATTCGATACAGACTTCAAAAGGATTAGGAGCTGATCAGTGTGTTCCATTTCTGTATCGAAGTTCATCGAATTTCTGATGATATCCAAAAACTGCATGTTCCATCGTGGGTCCAGAGGCATCACATGTTCATCTGGGAAGGCAGACAAGACAGGACAGTAGTGGAAACATTACACTGAGTGAAAGACAAAGACAGGACAGTAGTGGAAACATTATTCAGTGAAAGACGTTCCTCAATCCCCCTGCCTACGCAAGAACGTCAGGGGAAGAAAAAAAGGAAGCCTAAGAGGAAGGCAGAGTCATGGAATCATAGAATGGTTAGGGTTGGAAGGGACCTTAAAGATCATCTAGAGTCTTAAGCTCCCTCCCTCTAGATATCCAAACAGAAAAGCTTTATGACTGCAGGTTCTGTAAAACAGAGCAGTGAAAGTAAATTAACCAGTGCTTAGAGTACCCAAAACCGACAGCTTGGAAACTCAAGTCCAACTCCCTTTTCCTTCAGAGTACAGGCAAGATACCCAAGACCACCCACAAATGGTTGGTTTAGTGTCACTGTATGTAGTTTTCATGCACCTAATAAACTTGGAAAGGAAACGACAGGCCTGAGCTCCCAGTAAAACACCGAGGGAAGATTACAGACCTCAACATAGGTTTCAGATAGGCCAACAAATGCAGTGGAAAAAACAGGATACCTGAACTACGCAGTCAGAAAGGCAGTGTTTTCTTACACACATTTCCTAAGAGTTGCAGTGTGTTCAGAGAACAAATAAAGGAAGCAGCAATGTCTCACAAATTTTTTTCAGAAGTACCTGTCATAGTTGGCTGTAGCAACTTGATCATGTTACTGACCCCGGATGAGAGGGGACTGGCATAGAAACTACTGAGGGCTACAGCACCTGCTTCCAGCTGAATCCGCACTGCATCTGCGGGTGAAGGGGAGAACACAGAGGTGTAAAAGACAGCATTTAGTACAAATAGATAACTTAAACCACACCAGCACAGGCAGCCTGAATCTCATCTGTGCATACACTCTGGACATGCTGGTTGCTTTTATTTTGTATTAGCTCCAAGAGGTCTTAAAAGCAGTCAGAATATCATGGCCAAAAGAAAGAAATCCAGTAAAGAGTTCTAGTTAAACTGGTGATACTTCATGTATGCTGTTTTGTGAAAATCTGAGTCTGTATGTTAAAATCTTACTCTCAGTATCAGTACTGTTTCAATTGAGGGGGGGAAAAAAAAAAATCAAAACCCAAACAGATCACATAAAAGCATGCCTGTCATTAAAGTAACTGCCTTGGTATTATCTAGTTTATAGACACACTGGCCCGGAAAGACAGCAAGATCAAGGGCGAGCAATCCCATTCACGTCAGGACAATACAGTCAGAGATTTCACACCATACAAGGAAGCTGAGTGTGAGAGGTACCTGACCTGTCTAAAAACGCCTCATAAATTTAATGTGATTAATGTAACGAAGCAACTGATACCTCAGCCCCTATCCTGATTGTTTAGGCAACACAGCTTCAGGACATCTCAGTTCTGCAGTTTCCTGGCTTTTTACTATTTGTATTTTAACACCAAATAAACAGAAGGCATTTTACTGCTTCTGCTATCACTCAAAAAAAAAACCAGTGGCGCAAAAGGTGTATTTGCTTACACAGACTAAGAGGTATCCAAAAATTACTGTAATCCAGTACAAGTTACATGCATGCTTAAATAATGAAGGGCAAACAAACCAAGCCTTAGGCAAAACAGAAAGTTAAATAATTACATACCAAGCCCCTGTGGCAGATTTTTGGCTAAGGAGTTAAGCCATTTAACTCTCAATGTCCAATCTTGATTGGTTGCCTTTTCTGTGAACAATTTCACTGAAGCCTGGAGAACTTCCATTTTATCCATCCAGTCTGCATCCCTCTCAACAGCACTGAATTTGAGACTCTCGGGATTAGTGGACTCCATCATTTTTTGAAGATCTTGCAGAGTCAGAGGTAGTGTCCTGAAACACAAAGTGAAGTCCAGCAATCAAGGGCTCGAACTGCCAGTCCCAGGGAATAATATATGCTGCAAGTCAAGCTACTCTGCACGCAACCATCTGCAGGCAGGAAGGCAGCAACGCAATAATCTCTCCTCTTGATTTAGCTTTAAAGCCAGTGTCCAACTTGAGATTACTCGGGGGTGTCTACTATTAGGAACCCTCTACTGTCAAAAATTCATGCAGTGCCAGAAGTGAATATGCACAGCATTTTACTGAGAAATAATCGATTTGTGCACTAGAACGATAAGCAAAGGTAAGTTAAAAAAGATAGAAGTGTTGCTGATAAAAATAACCCAGTAGTTGCTTAGGTTCTACAATTTCATCATTATATCTTAGTACTAACTTCTACAGCTTGGTCTTTCACTGGAAGCACGCCACAGTACCTGTCCACAGTAGGTCACTAAGCAAAGCAGGCAGACTGGAAGATTTTGCACCAGTGTGGTGAAAATAAGTTATACTGCACAAGAAATCGTTAAAAGAATTCTTGCATATGGCCCCTGCACATGAGGCTTTTCAGACAGCTCTGCTTCGAGGAGGAAATTTGGTTTGGGTTTTTTTTTTTTTGGTTGATTGGTTGGGGTTTTTTCACCTGAAACTACTAGACCTAAAGTAACTGATGAATAATTGTTTACAGGGAAGCAGGAAGTACAAAGGATTATTAATGTATTTAAAACTAATTAAATGTTATTTTTTTTAAAGCTCAGAAGGAAACTGAAGTAAGATTTTTGGGGCTCTCATTTCCTTGTAAACCCAGTGTTTGTATTCACATTTTCTGCTAAATGCCTACTCCGACCTCAACTCAATGGGTCAAATGTACTTTTTCAAGATAGAGTCAAGAATTTTGGACTGAGGAGTAAAACAGTAAATAATTAAACTTGTATGTGTAGTGGTTGCATGGAAAGGTAACAGGGGCTGCAGTTACAGAGTGTGACGACCACAGTCTCTACCCACACATTTTGCTCCACTCACAGTTTTGCAGGGAACAATCACATGCCACCCGTAGTTTACACACATCTGGTTTCTTATTCACTTATTAGACAAAAAATGTTTCTTGCCTACCTGCAGTTTTTAAGGTTTAGTCTATTCAGACAGTACATTAGGAGCTGTGCGTCACTCCGGACTGTCGAAAGAAGGGAGTCTTCAGCTGCAAACAGACCTGTAGGCAGCGAGTCTGGCCACAATCCTATTGCTAGCAAGGAGTCACCCCAATTTTCATGGGAAGTCAGAAAGGAAGCATGCTTTGTAATCACTTCTAATACAAGCTACAACAAACAACCAAACAGCAGTTTAGAATCATATTCAAACAGGTATTCAAGTACAATAGCTTAGGTAACTCTTTAATTATATACATTTATTATGAAATCATTACAAACCAAGTGTTCTACAAACACTATATAACATACACAATAAGAGTACCAAAACATTCTAACCATAACTAAAATAACATACTGTACAATTAAAAATAGGAAGTGTATATTGCTATCTCCAGGTGAGAGCGTGCCTAGTGTTTCAGGCTATAGCTTTATCACTATTAACATCCCAAAATCTCAGCTGAAACTGCTAAAAACCAAGTAAGCCTGAGTCCAACTGGAATATCCCCTGGCTCCCTTATGCTGCAAAAGAGTGAGCCGCTATCTGCAAGATGTCTCACTAACCATATTTATCCCAGAGGAATATCTCAATAAGCACATCCCAGACTGACAGTCTGCTGACCTACGCCTCCCAGCGGCATGCCACCAGACGGAGAAAATGTGCCATGAAAGGATAGGTGGACAGCTTAAATTCACTGTACTTCACCATTCAATACCAAAAAAACCCCACCTAACTTCTGTAGCTTCAACTGATCTGTCAGAGAAAGTTCCATGCAGAACTGTACTGCTGACACTGAAGCCAAAAAAGGCTCAGAGACACAGAAGACGTCCCAATGCCACTTAAACCCTCCTCTTCATCACCTAACAGATTCTCGAGAGCGCATTTAACGTTGTATTGTTAATGCCTCCAAGAGCAACGTGTTCATCAACCTCTTGTTCAGGCACTTAAGAAGCAGCAGACCTCAAACACTAGACTCATGAAATTATATTTTTCATGTATTCAGACGATGTAAGAGAAGCTTTAAAATACAGGAGTTTTACCTTCTGGTTAATCTGCAGTTGTTGCGATCGGCCATAAACTTCCCAACAGGCTCTGTAGAAAGACTTGGCCAACCCAAGGCCCCTCTGTATCTGCTGCACAATTAAGACAGCGGCCTGAAGCAAAGGCGACAAAGATGACACACAACCTGAAAGACACACGGCATTTAGGGTGGTATGAGTGTTTAGTAATCGTCAGCCCTTTAACCCTCTGAGGACAAACACTGTTTCAGACCCTGAGAAGATCCAAACCAAATTAATCCTGCCGGGTCCTGAAAATTGACCGATTTCTTCCTAAGGTTATAACAAAATCTGACAAGACTGTAAATAACTGCTGAGCAGCTCAAAATGAGACATCAAGCAGCTGAGATGAATGAAACTCAGTGTCACCTTACTACAAAGAACTTCTTGAGTAGGCCTTGTGCAAAACATGTCTTTTGCTGATTTTCTCTTAGAGTACATTGCCTTCCCTACAGCAACAGACAATATCTGATGTCTCCTGACAAAGCACTCCCGTTACTGTCTTTTTATGATTGGGCCTACTTACTGAGAACGCAAAAAACAACCCAAACCAGCCTGATTAGACTTCTATGCCTTCACTTATACTGGGACATAACACAATAAAATAACCAAGCTTTAACATTAAAGCGTTAATCCAAATGTATGTAATGAGCCAAAAATACTGAACAGAATGTTTTTTACCTGCTATTGCTGCCTTGGTTTCTGAATGTACCGCCACCAGTGCATCACAGATGCTATCTCCCACTAAACCCAACCCATGCAGGAGTAACTTCACATCCAGATTGTCCAACACATTCCCATCATTCTCTCCAGGAATGTAAATTTCAATCCCACGATTCCGCATGGCTCTGGATATTTCCCCATGAACAGGATCCATGGAAAGGAAAAGCCTGTTGGATATTAGAATAAAACAGTTCAGTTAGAAGGCACCTACAATGATCATCTAGTCCAACTGCCTTACATTCTTAAGATGCAACTTAAAGCTTTAAACCAGCACTCTGGGGACACCAAATCTGCTCTTTCGTAAAGTAAATTCATCATAAAAATGGGGACACCAATATCTAGAAAGCCACAGAAATCTACTGCTTTAAATGACATACTGCACGATTTTTAACTCTATTATATGTGAGCTACGTCTATTTTATCATTTGTCTACTGAGGAAAACAATTAAGCTAGACCTCTGAGATATAGATGACTTTAAAAAGCCCTAGCAAGGGCTTCAGATAAATTTCTGCTGTTTAAAAAAACCAAAGTATCCAACACCCAAGTAGTTAATACTATCAGCAGACATCTCTTAAAAGCATGAAGGAAAAAAACATCTGAGATCCAATTAAGCAAAAATGGGTTTCTGAAAGTCAAAGGTCTTGCTTCCAGTTCAGAAGAACCACAGCATATCAGTCCCCAAATTCTTTTAATGAATTTATAAAAGGTAGGAATTATATAGAATACTCTGTATGTTCTCCTCCTATCTCCCCCAGACACTATTTCAGGTCTGAGGGAACACAAAGCTGTCTGTCTGGTTTTTGGTTTGATTGGGGTTTTTTTTCTCCCCTTTAAGTTCTGTCATTGCAGGAAACTCAAATTTATGGATGGGATGGAAAAAGCTGTGAAGAAAATTATGTCCATATACCAAGCTTTTATTACCAACATATCTGAATAGTTCACCACCTTCAACACATGTATCCTCAACTCCACTACAGTGAGACAGGGAAGTGCTGAAATCCTAAATTAGAAATGGAGAATCACGGCAGAGGGATACTGCTATGAATTTTCCAGTGTAATAATCTGTGCTGTAACAGGGATACAAAGCCAAACCTCTAACATGCTCATCACAGTGCAGTTTTCTTCCTAGCCAGCCAGTGCCACTACAGTACACGGCAAACTGAACAGCATTCAAAATGCCAAAAAGCTGGCTCGCTGCTCGTGGTTTTTTTCTAAGCCTGCCATTAGGTGTGGGTTAAAAAAAAAAAAAAAAAAAAGGAGAAGGGGGGAAAAGGGAAAAAAAAAAAAAAAGGCAGAAAAGCAACACACCTGAAGTTTGGATGAGGAGCTATGGTAGGAATTGTGCCATCTATCACACCTCTCTCACTCATGGAAAGAACACCTCCCGGTTCAAGCAAAGCGTTCAAGCGGTCCAGCACAGAAGGGCTATATTCAAAAGAAATTTATATGGTTATAGGAAGGCAAAAATGTGATCCTTTTCTGATCTGAAATCAAAATGGTACCAAGCAAAAAGCCAAACAGCTAGTTTACATTATAAGGTAACAGGAAAACAATTGACTGCTAAGTGGTCTAAGAAGGAAGAGACTCTTCCAGAAAAGAAGTTGTTACTGCTCTCACGTAATGTTACCAAATACAAAATGTTCAGTTCTGAACCCCACAGCAAGAGACAAAAGTAAACCAGGGAGGTCAAGAGATTTACTCAGTGAAACGAGGCCGCTAAAATCTCTTACTTGCAGAAGTTAACGTTGTCCATCAACAGCCAGTCTCCAGACTGCAGGGCCTGAACCAACATCCCATCTACCCACTCGAAAGTGCCGTGGCTGTTCCGGTCAGCAGCCTGGACCTGCTGCAGCTTGAAGTGCCGGAACTCTTCTACCAGGTGAGCAAACTCTGAAACATCAAGACTTCCATTACTCAATGCAACTTCCTGTTCCATTCCAGAAAAATAGTAGTTATTTTGTTAACAAACATGTATGCTTCCTACTTTTCAGGGGAACGTAACGGCAAAGGCTCCAGCTCTTCAAGTAGCCTCCCACGAGCAAAATCCATAAGGACACAGAGGATTTGCAAGCACAGAAAATGATGAACTAGACTGACACTTTTCTCTCTATAGAGACATTTCTCCATCCGTTCTCCAACATTAGATGAAGTTTGATGGACATTAATGCCATATTTCAGGCATTTAAAAAAAAAAAGCCAGAAAAAACATCACATATATTATTCTGCTGACATTTGTAAAGCTCAGCTGAGCAATGCTTCAGAGAACAAATGCAAAAATAGAATATCTAAATTCCCTCTCAAGAATACAAGATAAGAGCTGTATTGCATCATATGTTGAGTAGCTCAGTACAGGAGAACAGGAGTGTGGCCTACTGATCGCTACCACACAAAAACCAAACTGAAAGAGCCATCACCAGTGTAACCTTTTCAAAACCTAGGTTGTTACATAAGTAGTATGAAGCGACAGTACTGACTACAAAACCCACCTACAAAACACCCTCAAGTGTTCTTAAGCTTTCACTGCACCCCTGGAAGTGTTCAAGGCCAGGCTGGACGAGGCTTTGAGCAACCTGGTCTAGTGGAAGGTGTCCCTGCCCATGGCAGGGGGGTTGGAACTAGATGGTCTTTAAGGTCCCTTCCAACCCAAACCATTCTGTGATTCTGTGATTCATGTCTCATTTTCTTCAGAGAAACACATGGTATTACTTCAAATGGCCCACCATACATACCTGCCTTTGAGTAAGAATTTATTTTGTTGTTTAGTCGCTGGATAAGTACAAGTATTCCCTCCAGTTTGCTCACTAATTCAGCGGTAACACTTCTACCTCCTTCACCCAGAGATTTGGGTTTGTAGTTCAGGATGAAGTTGCTCCAAGCACGCAGCACCAGTTCGGCGTCGTCCGCACAGATTTCTGTCAGGAGAAGGCTGTCCCTTACTAGCGTGCTCACAGCATTCTCCACTTTTTCCAGCAGGCACTGCCAGGGCCTGTTGATATCGACCTGTAAATGGGCCAATATGGAGTTAGTTCACCCAGAAGACACTGGTGCCTAAAGCTCCATTTGATGCTCAAACACTAAGATCACAGCGGACTGGCCACCGTCAGTTAGGTAGGACGGAGGAATTGACATACTACCCAAACAGTATTTACCTGTTCAAATCCACCCAAGAGTTCTGTTGTATCCATGGCACTGTTCATTGCCATGATTTTCAGTCGATGGCCGGTCAGATGGGCCAGCAGTTCAACGAGACTGGTTTTGCCGACAGCTGCCGGGCCCACCAGGATTACCATCCAGCTCATGTGAACGCATTTCATTACAGACTCGAGGGACTGCAGTGAATGGTGCAGAAGTGAGAGACTTCTGCGGGGACGAGGAATGTAGTTGCCACGAGAAAGAACCGAATAACCGATCTGGAAGGGATGAGACATGCGTGGGTGAGTACTCAAAGAAGCAAATGGGAGCTCAGCTGTGCAAGGGGCTTCCTTCTCTCTCCACTCACAAAACTTCCTGTCAACAGCTTACCTGAATGTTATATGGAGTGATGTGAAAGTCTCTGGTTCCTGTATACACCTCAGCCTCCTGGCCAAAAATGTCTCTAAATATAGATATAACCTAAAACAATTCAAAGAGCAAAAAAGAGACTTGTCAGTCTTAAGTCACTCGTTGGGCTGAAGATTTACTTCTAAAGCAGCTGTCCCTCTCAGCTCCACAACCATGTGATAGTAAGTTATTCAGTCGAATCACAACTGTCACTTCCCTCAAAGTGCGGCGAGCCATTAAAGCGAGCGCGAGCTGCCCACGGCAACCCCTTCATTAACCATGCTTTCCCACGACTTGAAATACTGTAAAGCAATGTTTCTGTTTAAAAACTGGGAAAGAAGTCACTCCATAAATGAGCTCTTTGATAACACACAAAAATCTGACAATACTACAGGAAGGGGAAAGTTAACCCATAAGAAAAATATCCCATCGCATACAGTCAGTAACTTCAGTCTTACAATCTGATTGACTTTCATACCATTTAGATGTTGTGAAGTTAATCAAAAGCAAAGGAATTCCAGGCAAGAAAGACAAGCCAAGGTGGAATGACAACTGCAGTGAGTGTGGTTTATTAGAGGAACCTTAAGCAGTGAATTTAACAGGACAAGGAGAGCAATTTGACAGGCAGATAAAGAGAAGTGACAGATAAACAGAAGTCAATAAAAAATCCAAGTCAGAACAATATTAAAATGTTGTCGGGGAAGGGCAGAATTACAGGACGTTATTTTTACTTACTATACTGACACATATGCCTTTTAACCATAAATCAAAAAATCTCTCTGTATCCAGTGCCATTTCTCTTCTCTGCTCCCTATCTTCTCTTTCTCAAGAATATTCATGCAAACCATGCCACTTCTGGGAGAATGTTATTATTTAATACAGAATCACACAAAAAAATGTTGTGTCTTGCTCTATTTAAGTGCTGTGTTATCCTACTAGCCTTCATTCACATCAGCTTTCTGCTTTCATACTAGTAGGTAATTAAACTGATATATTAGATGACAAGGGGGGGCAGGTACATCTGTTAAACATCAGAACTCCAAACAAACCCATGTTTCTTTTGTAAGAGGTAATATCTATAACTGAATGGCAAGGCTCCTTAAACTTTACACTTGGATTTCTAGAAAAACTTCCTGACAATCTGAAGAGCAAGGAAGGAGAACACAGGGCTCACCTTTTCTTTGTCTTCCCTGGTTCTCATTCTGTCTCCGTATACCAAAAATACATGCTGGCCTGGATCGTAACATCCTGGTGACTGGTCAACAAGCATAAGCTGGCACCAGCGGAAAAGATCACGCAAGTTGAACTCCCAGGGTCCTCCTTTCTGTCCCCACTTTTTTTCAACCATTACTTCTTTGTCAATCTGGAAAAAGTAGCAATTTAAAAAGGAAGTGTTTTATTCCACCCATGTGCTGGTCTTCAAGTATTTATTTTTTTTAAATTGAACTGAACTACTGCCTTTGGCACTGCTTACAGGACAGAAGACAACAGAATGAGCGAGCTGTATTCAGCTCTCTGAAGATGTCAGGGAATTAAGATTGATTTAGTTTGTCTCTACTATTTTTCTAACACTCAGCTCAATTTTCCTTTTTGCTCTTGCAATCTATTATTGCAAGTATTCAGTAAGATGCTGCCCACAAAACATTTTATGTAAGGCCACTTTCTTCTAATATTACTACACTTTTCTTTTTCATGACATGAAGATTGACTTTAATTTCAGAAGCATTACTGTAAGTTTCTTACTGTCAATTTTATATCCTCCACTTAGTGCAAAATGGCAGCATCTAAGCCACAAAAGAACTACCCAGTTGATGTTTTGCAATTAATGCTTGCTGAAAACCTTTTACATTAGCAAAATCTTAAATCCAAGCATTTCTGAATCCTTTGCCATAGACTAATCCTACCAGGAAACTTTTGCCTTTTATTGGTGTCCCAGTGTTCTAGAAGAATGTCCGTTATCCTTACAAGCTTCTGCCTCTGTAAAGGTCAGATGCTGGTCTCACTAACAACATCCCATAGTAGAGACCAGATTAAAAATTTGGAGCAGAAATACAAATACACATTTCAGTTCTTGTTAAGATATAGCTCATTTTGTTTGTGCTTCATGAATAATCCGTGTGTGCAAACCCATTATTTTCTCAACTCACTTCCTCAAGCTACCTGTGCCACGACACTACCAAACCATAACTGTTTCCGCCTTTTGTTCTACAAAGCCTCTTAGATATATGAATACATGTGTACATATATGTACATATTCTGTGAAAGTAATGCTTCTGCAGTTATCAACCAAGTATCTGATTGTACTGGTACAAGAATTCAGGTGGGTTTTAGTGTTCTTTACTTTCTTCTGCATACACTTCCATTCTAATTTTACCCACAGTTCTCTAAAAATGCCTGGCAATTTAACACTGGACTTCATTTTTTAAATCTTACTGCATTGTACCTACTGCCACACAGAAGGCATTAAGATATATATTTACCTTGTTATTGAAAGCAACCATTTTAGCAATAATATTTTTATCAATAGCAGGAAACAGTGTATTCCCAATAAACTCCATATCTTCTGCTGACAGCGGATCGACATAGACCTGTAGAACCAAAAGCATGCTGACTGTTAATATAGTCAAAGAACGACAAGACAGGATCATTACATAGCTTAAACCAAACAAATAAGCTTGCCTGTGTAAACCTATTAAGAAAGGACTTGGGCAGACCCTTTCTTCCACCTCCTTGTCTGTACGGATTCTGGCATCCGAAAATCTTCGTCTTCTTGTGCTGTACGTGAAAATTCATTCCCAATTCTGGAACATAAATCTCCGCTCTGTGGTCAAAGCAAGCATTTAGCCCCTCTAATACAGACTGAGAAGCCAGATTCAACTGAGGAAAGAAACAAGAATACAGTATTACTGCTACACAACGTACTCTATTACATAATCTCTTAGTCTGGGGTACACAGAAGGTAAAATTCAAACCCCCTGCTGTTCTAGCAAGGTCACATCTATTACCTCCAGCTAGACTGCTATGACACTGGAGAAACAAAACAGTAACCAACACTTTTCCTTCTGTTCACTTGGTATTTGTGCTGTGTTTTCATCATGATAACCAAACAATTCTTCATTGTGAATGAAATCTGCATGTTCAAGATGTTTCTTCTGAACTTATGTTCCTACATTTGTGACATTTGGAATGGATTGTTTGTTTGCTTGTTTTTTTTAAATAAAGGCAGTCTGGTTTATTTAAATATTGTGGTTGTTTGAAGTGGTACTCTTCACAATAGGAAAAAAAAAAGGCCTACAAATAGCAAAAGAACTTAAGGATTTGCACTCTGCAACAAACAATGCACAATGCCAAGTGAGCTCTGTGTGTGCATATGCTTGACAGCACCTGCCACGTGGTACACACAGAAACTTGCGCTGGCAAAACGGAACTCCTCTTCACCTCAGTTTAATTAGTACCCAACACAATCTGTGTGTGCATATGCTTGACAGCACTTGCTACGTGGTACACAAAGAAACTTGTGCTGGCAAAATGGAACTCCTCTTCACCTCAACTTAATCAGTACCCAACACAACGTGTTAGTCCCAGCAAAACACCTTTTATTTCAGTGAAGTTCTATCCATATAGATTTTGGCACGTGTACCAAAAATTCTAAAACACCTTTTATTTCAGTGAAGTTTTATCCATATAAGAGCACGTGTACCAAAACTTCCGTTGACCCTCTTCCCAAAAACTCCCAAGTGTAAATCAAATCTATCCTTGGCTTTCTGCAGTAATGTAGACTGGGATTCAATCCTTGTTCTCTTGTCTAAA